TATCATCGGTCGGTCTCCTTCTAGTCACCATCTCGAGGACCAGAATGCCAAAGCTGTAAACATCTCCCGTCGTAGATGTGTTCGACCCAAATCCATACTCTGCAATAAACGTTTAAACGATGCCGGGTAGTTTTTGACAGTTTGAAGCAAGTCCATCAACACATACGTAACTTAAAAGACTCACGAACATTTTTTTCGTGAAAAAGCAATCAAAGGTACTGAATTTCTCTAGCATTGAACAGATCTCCAATGCGTAAACCTTTAGCATCAATGAATTCTGTAATGGAGATCTTTACCTGGGGCAATGTATCCGATAGATCCACATAGCAAATTTGCCGTGGAATTTCCCATGTTCTCGACAAGCGCTGCATTTCCACATCCGGACGACATAATCAGCCTCGCTATTCCGAAATCAGAAACCAATGCAGTCATGTCATCATTGAGAAGAACATTGCTCGGTTTCAGGTTGCAGTGTATGACTCGAACTGGGGAATGGTGATGCAAATAAGCCATTCCTTCGGCTACGTCGCTACAGATATTTACCCTCTGGATGAGGGTCAAATCAGAAGATCTTGAGCTCAAGCCCGTTCCTGATTGAAGATAGAGATGGCTATCGAGGTTCCCATTTGCCATATAAGGAAGGACGATAGCCTTGAATTCCGGGAGGCTGCAAGCAGTTATTATCCTTATCAGGTTCCGGTGCCGGATCCTCTTTAGGACTTGGCATTCCCTGCTAAAACTCTTGGTGGAAATTCCGGATTGGACATGCAACACCTTCACTGCTATGACCGTTCCATCGGGAAGAACTCCCTTGTATACACGTCCATAACTGCCCGATCCGACCAGGCTCTGGTCATCAAATCCACCAGTGGCATCTGCCAGTTCTTTGTACGTGATTCTTGGAAAATTGCACACCGGACCTGGTGTCTTTGGCATGCTTATCGATTCAGTCTTCCCAGAAGAAGTTATGATCTTGAAGCGCCGGTATCCAATCACGCAGCAAATAGTCCACAGGCATGATGATGCAAATATGACCACGATGAAAATGATCAAGAAAGTGCTTGACCGGAACCAAGTTTTCTTTCCAGAGCAAGCAGGTATGCCTGGAATCGTGCCGCACAGGCGCTCATTCCCCAAGAACGAGAGAGAAGTAACAGATTTGAAAATGCCTCCTGATGGGATCATGCCTTGGAAGTTGTTGTATGAGAGATTAAGAAATCTCAGAGTCTCGATCTTGTTCAGGCTCGCAGTGATGGGTCCGGAGAGCCGGTTCCAAGAAACGTCAAAGGACTTGAGGTTCTTCAGATCGCCCAAGGAATCTGGAAGGCGCCCTACGAGTGAGTTGTTCGAAAAATTTATCGCTTTCAGTTCAATGCAGCTCGATATCTGAAAGAAGATACTTCCGCTGAAGTTGTTCGAGGAGAGGTCCATGGCTTGTAACTTTTCCAGCTTGCTGAGCTCAATTGGTAGAGGGCCTTCAAGATTGTTGTGAGACAGACCTAAATACATTCTGATCTCATTAATGCCCAGTAACAGCTCTGGCGGAATTCTTCCCGATAGTTGATTATGCGACAAATCTAGCTGGAACAATTGGGACAATCTTCCCAGTGACGGCGGTATATTTCCTGAAAGGAGATTGTTGTTGAGAAAAAGTGACCTCATTTCAACCATATTCGCCAGACTTGCCGGGATTTCCCCAAAGAATTCGTTATATGACAGATCAAGAAGACCCAAACACGGAAGCTGGCTTAATACGGTCGGAATTTTGCCTCTGAACGAGTTGCGAGATAAGTAGAGCCGATCCAGACTCAACAACCCCTTAATCTCTTCCGGGATCGATCCGTTGAGGAGATTCGAAGATAGGTTCAACAATAAAAGGTTGGAAAATCTGCCCACGGCCGGGGGAATTGGTCCAAAAATTTGATTCTCTTCAAGTAACAAGTTTTTTAAGGTAACACTAAGTTGGCCAACGGAATTTGTCAAGCTCCCTCCTAGGTCCATGCTTTCCAGTTCGATGTCGAGCAGACGGGTGCAGTTTGCTAAGGATGTGAAGAAAATGTCAAGATTGGTGTTGTCTTCGTGACTTTGCATTTTGTTGTATGAAAGATGAAGATACTTGAGTAAAGGAAGCCCCTCCACAATATCTGAAGGGAGCGGGCCTTCAAGATTGTTACTTTCTACATCGATGTTGAACATTTGCGAAGCATTTCTTAGAGAGATGGGTAAATGGCCCGTGAATTGATTGTTGTACAGACTAAGGCTATAGAGATTACGACAATTTCCAATCTCTAGTGGGATCTCTCCATAGAGGGAGTTGGTTGAGAGGTCTATATTATCCAATTTGGTGCAGTTAGCAAAGAGAGAGACTGGAAGTGTACCTGTCAACTTGTTATCCCATAGAAAAAGCGTACGAAGATTGGTTAAAAGAGCAAATGAATGCGGTACAGGACCCCCTAGATTGTTTCCTTGGAGCAGGAGCACGCAAAGGCGTCGAAGGGACGAAAGCTCGGGAGGAATCGTCCCCAAAAAGTGATTGTTTGCAAGGCTCAAGTTCCGAAGGCCCGTAAGATTCGATAGAAAAGGCGAGAGCCGCCCCGCTAGGCCTTGGCCTTCTAAGATGAGATACGCCACCCGGTGACGCTGTGCATTGCAGATGACTCCAGTGAAGCTGCAGACATCAACTGTTGCGTTCCAGTTACCAAGCGTGGAGTTTGGGTCGGATCTGATCGTCTTCTTGAATTCCAGAAGAGCGGTCCTGTCTTCAAGCAGCGAGTGGTGGGGAGGCGGATGAGAGTGACTCGGGGGACTTAGAGCAGCTTGAGCTTGACCGGCAACAAGAAGCCAGTGCTGCGCTAGTGCAAGAAATATGCAGCTAATAAGTAACATTTTTTGGTTCCTTCAATTTCGCAAATCACACCTTGCTACGGCAAGAGTGATTCAGCAGAGGCAGAATAAATCGGCACAATGAGAAAATCTGTACTGGCATGCGGGGCGGGGTTTCAGCTGCGTGGAGGAGCAGAGAAGAATGAGTAAATAGGAGAGTGGATGCTAGCGAAAACATGAGATGGATGGATGGAGGGGAGGTGGAAGGAGATCTTTCTATGGAGAAATTTCAACAACGAAATCGATGGCCCAGAAGGACTAAAAAGGCAACCTCTCCCTTCTCCTAGTGATGACTAGATTCTCAACTCAACTCCACAACTGCATTCAGACAATGCATGGAACAGAAAATGGGCTCGTCTTTGGTGGATGTTACTTTTTCCATCATAGAAGAAACCTCTATTTTGATTTCGTGATGTTTTAATCACTCACACATCCGCCCAAACGGAGATATGCAGCTTTGACATTTCTGCTTTTTTGACATTCTTATCAATGTCGATGGCTGCAAGTTGTCTCCATGTTCACTGGATCGAGTTGATTGATTTGTTGGGGGAGTGTGGCCAGTCAAATATCAAGAAGGCAAGCTCCACGAATCTCTTGTTGGCGATGCTGTTAATGAGCTTGCAATCATCTCTCATCTGCAGATGGTGCTTTAGTGGGATTACAGCCTGCTGACTCTGCATCTCACTGTTTCATACTCCCAGACGTGCTCAAAATATTAACTGAAACTTTTATCTGATGACAAGTGTTCCAGAATCTTAGAATACATTACCAATCCAGGTGCCTCGGCATTAGTCTTAAAGAGGTCTGTGGATTTTTGAGGTTCCACACAAGCTGTCAGTTAAATTAAAGTAACCTATGCAGACTTGATTTGTCTATCCAATCATCTGGAGTTCCCTTATGATTATTTTTCCAGCACAGTAGACGCTTGGTCGCGTGGAATCTGCATGTCTAGGTAGCTAAGAATCATTCAATTCAATAGGATTGCAAGTGAAGTCTGATATGGCATATTGGCAATGTCCATGCTTTCATAATTCATATCGAAGTAGTCTCCGCCATTCTCCAAAGAGCTACAAAGAGAGTGACGGATTATAGTTCATGCAATCCTAGCAACCTGTTCAGCTGCCCAGGGAGACAAGTATGAAATCGACCTATATCGACCATGTCGCCCATAAGTAGATGTCAAAGAACCCTGTTCAGTTGCTATACTGATTATTGCTTGAAAATATATAGAAGAGCCCTAGCAACATCAATAGTTTTGTCACAGACAGAATAATCCATTTAATGATGGTGTTCTTGAACAGCCTGGCCAGTGATCGCCAGTTCAACCCTTAGACAAACTATCCTCCCAAGACAAAGAAACCACGTCCAAACTACACCAGCATCGTTTCACAATATGTAAGGCTGCTTCCACGTGGGATCCGATGTAGATGGTTCCAAATTGGAGCTTACCCTCCTACACTTGGCACGGCGGTACATCAATATGCTCCCCAGCATAGTCACCTCAGCGGCCCTGCACTGCACTAAATGGGGCCACCACCATGTAGAAGGATTCCGAAGCTCCACAGAACAAGTTTACTTAATTATTCGTACTTTCTATTCACTCGGCTAATCTCGCTCAGTGTGAACTTGAACTGGTTAATAGTTGATTAGGCGCTATTCAAGGTACAGCAGCAGTAAGTACGTGCAGAAAAACGTATGATCCAGTGCAGGCCAGATTCTTGTATCTTCTCATGCCAGAGCTTAGCCATGTTGTTCCTGGATCTACTTGACTTGGCTCTTCACCCATGCCCATTCTTGTTCCATTATGTTCCTCTGTTTGAGGATACAGCAGAGCACCGTGAATGCTCAATTTGGCAGTCTTATGTTACGACGGTGGCTTTGGGAGCAGCAAAATTGCAGATTCTGTGTGCTCAATAAGCATTAGAAATTATTGGCCTTGTGGGATCCTCCACTCAGTCACATCCACTAGGGGAATGTCACCTTAAACTCCTCTCATTCATATCCTATGTGAGATTCTCTTGTTATCTTATGTTTAAAGGAGCATCCCCAAAAATTAAGAAGAAAATACAAATTGTGATCATGCATGACCTCACTGGAGTCGAGAAGTGAATGGCCCTATGCTGCAAATGTTGGGTAAGTGAACTGGCAATGGCAAAATCATATCATGTTCCTTGGAAAATAAAAGGAAGAGTCAATAGTCTGAGGCAGTGTTTTTTATACTTCAACAAGAAATCGAACCAGACTGCCGAGTGCACGCGGTTGAACCACATAACGTGTGTATTCAAGTGCGCATATGAGAGATAATCCACATATACAAGTTTATACGTAGATGAAGTTAAAACAGGACATATGTGCTAATGGAGAGAGTTTTCTTTATTTGCAAATAGAGACAAAATACTGTTGAAGTTGAAAGGACCTTTGGATTTCAGTGAACAAGCAAGGGATGTGTAATCAATAAGGTACTTGCATGGACCAAATAGAAGGAGAACAATTTAGATGACATGAGTACATCAGGATGATTGGAAGGACCTAAGTGCAGCATGAATAGATTGGAATTCGATAAAATTATCGAGTCTGGAAAACCCATTTTGTAGAAGAAGTTCACGCTACATAACGGAGTTAACAACACTGCACGCACTTGAAAACAAAAGCTGAGCTCTAAATCAATTTGATTTAAATTCAAGAGCAATTTCAAGCCTCCAAATCAGAAAAAAAAAACGTTATAGAGAAGTTACATGCTTTTGCCATTTTGGACTACGTAGAGAAAGTATTTGCCAAGTTCATAGAAGCAGTTTGTCAAAAATATATATCAATGAAAATAATACATATAATAAATGAATTCTCGATTATCAATTCCATTGGTAAAAAAACAAAAAAAACTTGCACATCGGTCGATCCGACCCGGGGACAGAATTCGACCCGGAAACTCTGTTTCGGTTCAGCCCGTCTCTTCTTTTCAAACGACGAGTCCGACGAGTCCGACGAGCCACCGTCGTCGAGCACGGAGGAGACGAAGAGGAAGAAGCGGAGGCCGCCGCCGAAGGCCTCCGGCGAGGCTTCCGTGACCGGAGAACTCGCCACGCTTCACGCTCTCTCGCTCCACCTGGCGTGCGGGCTGAGCTTGGCGGCGGCGGCGCCGCTGCTGTGGATCGCCACCCGCGGCGTCGAATCCGCCAATCTCGTCTCCGATCCTTCTCGAGCTCTCCGTCTCGTTTGGGTACTCACTTTCGTCGCCCCTCCCCCTCCTCTCGCCGTCTCGCCTTCCGGGGCTTTTCTCGGCTGATTCTTTGTGAGGTTTTGTTGGTTTTAAGGTCATCGAGTGTCCGATCGCGATCCTTCTCTACGGTCTTGTCAGGGAGAGGCCCGCGCAAACCTCGGTAGCGTTTGTTTCTTCTTCCTTCCTTCCTTCATTGATAACTTGGAATTCGCTTCGTTTTGAGTTCGTGTCTGAGCCACTTTTTTATGTTTTTCGAAATCTCCGCAGTATGTAAGAGCTGTCCTTCGCGGTGCGCTCGCGTTGCCAGCCGGTCTGTTTTCGTTTTCTAGCATTCCTGTTTTGAATTTCCCAAGTTATGCGGCGTTTGAGGATATACCCTTTTGGATTTGCAGGGGCTCTTGTTAATGCTTTGGGAGCTATTGCATTGGGTGCGCCTGTTGGGATACAGTGAGTAGCTTTTTGGATGTTATGTTTTGGCTCATTGCGTTCTTACAAGAATCTATATAAGTTTGTTTAGCGGATTGGATGTAATGTTACTGGGAATTCACTTGAACTGTTGATTTCGTGCTGAATGTTTCGATGACGGTTCTTGTTCTACTCTTCCACAGGTACTTGGTGAAGACCGTTAACTGGTCCCTCGTGATGTCGACCTTGACCGTAAGTTTTTTCATCACTTTTGATTCCTTTGGAAATCTGGCTATGTGTTTCTTCTTGCAGGCTTCCCTCAGTGCTGTGTTTTTGGCATGTTATCTGTTGAATCAGCTCATTATTGGGCCTCCATTGTTATTTTCTGACCTATTTTTGCCGTTAATAGCTGACCCGAGCATAGAGAAAAGTATTATTGGCTATTGAGGAAAGCATTACTAGCTACGGTCAATTCACTCCGATCAGTCACCTTTTAGTCTGGAAAACATGTAATTGGAGTCTTGCTATTTGTACATGTTGCATCAGTTTGCTTAGTCTTTCTAAAAACTAATTCTTCATCCTTTGGCAGTTCGTGCCGGCCGCTTGTGTTTTTGGTGCCTCATGGAACAGTTGGCAACGTATCTTCGCATTTACAAAGTAATTAACTCCCTAGTATTTTGTTTCCTAAAATCCTGTCACATCTGTGGCGCAGTCCCTTTTTTTCATATTTTCACTGTTAAAGGATCTTTTATGAGAGCCTTGACTCTTCAACATTGGGCCTAACTTTTGTTTGAACGTGTAGACCAATCAGTTCTGTGGATTTCATGATTTGTCTGCCTGCTCATGGTGCAATTATTGGAGCTTGGTTTGGTGCATGGCCTATGCCGCTTGATTGGGAAAGGCCATGGCAGGTACTTTCTCCTTAGTACAAGCTCGTCATTGTTTGATGTGGATGGTGTGTAGGTAAATCTGGAAATTTTGCTGTTACTCCAGTTGTTTCTGTTTATGGTAATTCACTACCCAGATATTGCTCTCTTTGGTCTTTGCAATTACCTTGATTCGAGGGTTTTACTTAGTTGGAATGGATTCTTCCTTAGTGGGATACGACTTACTTGGCTCTGTATTGCACTCTTGCATGAAGGAATTGATGCAAAGCTACTGATAATTTGTTTGGAACTTTAGAATGTTATGTAGGACCACTGATTTCTGATTACCTTAGCTATGTTTCCTCTCCAGCACTGTGTGTGACTTTTCTTTTTGAGCTGAGGAAATGAGTTAATGGTTTAAGTTTGTTACTTGATGTCTAGATTTATTTCAAGCTGAAAGGTTTTCTGCTAATTTGTAGATCTTGGATGTCTGGTTCTGGAGACCTATCAGCAAGATGATTAAAATAAGTGAAAAAAGAAAAGAAAGTAGTGTAGTAGTTATGACTCTTTTCTTTTGAAGTGAAATAGTTGTTGATTTCTTATAGGAAAGGAAGGATTCTAAGTTCATCTGATCTAGCTTCTATTTATACGTACCAAGAACTGCATCTTCTGAAAGTCGGCATGAAATTCACCCTGTTTGGTGTTTATATAAAAGTTGCTTCTTAAATATCGGTTTCTCACTTTAATTTCTTCAGTGGAGCATATTGCATCTCTTTGTATTCCCCACATCAAGCAGCTATAAGGTGCTGTTCATGTCCTTCTCTTTAACAGGAGTGGCCGATCTGTGTGAGTTACGGAGCCATCATAGGGTACCTTGTTGGGATGGTGGCATCTCTGGGCTTTATTCTCCTTCGACGTGGACATCATCATGTGAAAGTAGACTAGTGGACTGACACGGGGAATATCATTGGCAATTGTATTGCTGGAGCTGCTTAGAGATGACTACGGCACCCTTCACAATTTTTAACAAATCCTGTTAACAGCAGATATGATTGTCCCTCCTAGTTTCATATGCTTTCGCGAGGAATCTACCTTAACATTTTTCGTCTACTTATGCTTCACGGGTGTTTCAGGGTGCACACCTGAACTGCTAACTGATGTCAATGCCAATTATTCAATGACGACAGCAATTCTATTGACATCCTGGTAGGTAATTATTTAGCTTCTCAAAAACCCATTGACTCTAAGGCAGTGAAAAGGCTATCAGTGCGAAGAAGCAAAATTTTTATAGGAAAAGTTGTGTCCATTAATGTTGTACATACTTATGTAGGAGTGCAGTCAGCAGACTCAGAACAGCTTGTGCTAGCCTAGTTTCATAATTGTATGTTTACTGTCAAATTTTTTTGTTGTTGTCGTTAAAGTATGTTCCTATGCATTGGTGTTTCTTCCATTTGGTTCTCAGCTTATAGCTGGGAGCAGCATCGAAAACCAAACGGAGTGCCTAGTATGAGAGAGGGGAACTTTGTTTCTAGATTCCACAGTTGGAGGAAGAATGAGAGTGACTTACATTGGAGATTGCAGCCGAGGCAGCGCCTCTGCTGCAACACGCCCTAATTTAAGTTCTGTGTTTTCTGATTTCGTAGACCATCTCAGACTTTAGAGGCCGAGAGCGGGCATGTGCTCTCTCTTTCCCACTTATGATCATTTCTGGATTAGTGAGGATGGCTTGGGGAGTGATTGCACTAAAAATCTATGATAAACAGAATCAACAACCATATTTGTGAAGCACTTTATTCTTGGACACCATTCATGCAGAAAATCAATCAGGGGGCCATTCCTGTTCTTTTGCCAGCGCGGGCCATGTCAAAGCTTAAGTGGCATCATTCATTCGTCTTGCTCCGTGGTTCACGCATTCTCTTGTCTCGTCGTCGACGAAGTACTTCTTTAAATTTCCACTAAAATGTTGCCGAGCTATTGAATACATTACTTTGATCACGAGCTCTTGGTGCAGTAAACAGTACAATGCTCTGCTTGAGGGGTGCAGTTGGTCGTTTCCCCTAGAGATCCGACAGAGGGCATCCACCAAAAAACTACATTACCTGGATCGAATGGCCGGTAATCTTGCCGGTGTTTTTCTACTTGCCTTTTTGCATGGTTGTGTAGTTGATTCATGACCATTTCATGGTTGGTATCTGAAGCGAAAAACGGAAGAGAGAGGGGGTTAAAAAGAAAAAGAAGAAAAAAGTAATTACAAGAAACCAGCCAAACGTACATATCTCGGAATCCTATTCGGTTATTGCGAAAATTCAATTATCGAGAATCGACGGCTGCATGGAGAAAGAGATTACCCCTTTGGGTTTCGTCCCGAGATTGATCACAAGCTCCTTTATCTTCCCTCTAGAGAGATAAATCTCCTTGTCATATCGTATTAAGGTTCATTTAATCGTAATTCCATAGTAAGCTTCCGTACCGCACAGATCATTAATGATCTCCGTCGAATGGTCGATCGCTTGTGTGATACGATGCTTTATATGGTATCTACGATGAAATGGACCGGTAAATGATGTATCGGCTTTGTTTTTACAATCCCGTTTTGTCCCCCACAGCAAAATTTGGCAATGCCTCCATTAGCGCTTGAGGATCCTGCTCAGCACTGTGCAGGAATCAAAACTTCGAGGGGGGCTCGAGCATTCTTGAACATCGAAGGAGACCCGAAAAAAAACAAAGGAGAACAGAGCAGCTCGAGAGATTCTGCAGCAGCGAACCAACCAGGCAAAAGCAGAGGGGAGGAGGGAGGCCATCGCGTGGGGGCGAGGGAGCGACACGTGGAGGAAATGCGGGATGGGCCCCGCACCGAACCCTTTAAAAACCCTCCCCCCCATGGAAATCTCTCATAAGCGCCAAACAACAACGCCATCGCCATCTCCTCCTCTTTTCTCTCTCTCTTTTCTCTCTCTCTCTCTCTTCTCTCTTCACTAGTAAGTAAACGTCGTCCTTCGAGTTTCGCTTACCTGCGTTTCTGCCGTTGTTGTTCTTCTTCTTCTTCTTCTTCTTCTTCTTCACGTTCTCTTCGTTATTCGTGTAGGGTCGCCTGGCCGTTCCTCGTTTCGCTCCGGATGACGCTAGGGACGAAGCGGTTCCTCGGCGCGAACTCGGCGGTCTCCTTTTCGCGGGGATGATGAAGCGTCGGAGTACGATCGATCTCTCTATGTTTTTGTCGCGCGTTTTTTTCCCTTTTGTTCATCGACCTTCCGTTGTCTGTTCGAGTGGTCCGATCATTTTTTTTTTTTTTTGAGGAACGGGAGCTCGTGCCCGGCCTTCTGTTTCGTAGGGGGTTCGATTGATCATGTCCGGTTCTCTGTTCTCGTGAGCGATTTCAGAAGACAAGGAGAATCAAACCTTGTCGTCTGTCTGGGTGTAAGAAGTTTTTCGATTGCGCTTGCTGGGTCCCTTTGGTGGTATCTGTATTGTTTTTTTGACGACTGGGGTTTTGCGGTTTTTGCCTGTTCTTTGTTTAAGAGTTGGTTCTTTGCTTTTCTTTTTTCTTTTTTCTTTTTTTTTAATCTTTTGGAGTGATGGCTCTCCGTGAAATGAGGCTCTTGCCTTGTTGAGTTATTGGGTGATTTTGTTGAGAGTGGCATTGTGTCTGCAGTGAGAAAAAGGGATTCTTTCTGTACAAATGGAATTTATTTATCATTCTTCTTACCATCACTTGTTGTTAGTCATGTGAGAGGATATATGAAGAGCTTAGTTGAGCATGGCTGTTGTTTGGTGTGCGAGATTTCGGAAGAATAATGATGGGCAAGCAGATTGGTTTACGAAATTTGTGTACTAAGTAACGCGGGTGTTGCTCATTGCAGAATCCTAAGAATGAGAAGATAATGGTGATATCGGTCCCCATTTGGTGAACTTTTGATCTTCTTGACTGTGTAAAACATGTAGACATTTTTCTTAAAGCACACTCGTTTGGCTTAATTCTTCAGTATAAGAGCTTTCCTGTGTGTGTGTGTGTGTGTATTCACCAAGCCCTTCATTTCAGTTTACTCTGACCATGCGACACGAGTCTGTCAACTCAAGTTAATTTTCTTGCAACTGTCACTTTCCTTCTGTAGGGTGGTTTTCTTGAAGTGAATTTTCCAGATATCCAGACATAGGATGCTGTAGAGTGACAGGTAGAGGCGACATGGGGAGTGGATTCAAGCCGTCAACCCCCACTTCCCTTCCACAAGTGAATGAAGACCTCACACCCCATATGCTAAAGAATGAATTTGATGGCTCTACTGAGATGGTCGGTCAATTGAGTAATGATGATGGCGGCAATCTTCCCTCTCCTTGTACATCGTCAACAACTCCTGTTCCAAATGGGAACCCGCAAGGAGCAGCTTATTCAGACAACAGGGCCTTCCCATCAGCTAGTACTACCCTCACACTTGGTGACTTCCGGTTCAGTAACATGACGAGTTCAGTAACTAGATTCAGTCATACTAGTGGATATAGCAACTCCCCCATCCTGCAAGGACAAAGTCCGTGTACTCCAGGCATAAGTTGGAACTCCTTTGGGGTGCCTGAGAGTAGCTCTTATGGTAATTCAGTCACATTGGACAATTTGATGAACAGTAGACCCTATATCCGGGGTCCTTTGACGTCAAGAGATTATGCTGATTTCAGAGGCAATGCAAGCGCAGGACTTAGGACAATTGGACCTACATGGGCAACAAATGTAGCGGCAGACCATGATTCTGTGGTTGTTAGTAGTGTAGCCGACTCCCCCATCCTGCAAGGACAAGGTCCGTGTACTCCAGGCATAAGTTGGAACTCCTTTGGTGTGCCTGAGAGTAGCTCTTATGGTAATTCAGTCACATTGGACAATTTGATGAACAGTAGACCCTATATCCGGGGTCCTTTGACTTCAAGAGATTATGCTGATTTCAGAGGCAATGCAAGCGCAGGACTTGGGACAATTGGACCTACATGGGCGACAAATGTAGCGGCAGATCATGATTCTGTGGTTGTTAGTAGTGTAGCTGACTTCCCCATCCTGCAAGGACAAGGTCCGTGTACTCCAGGCATAAGTTGGAACTCCTTTGGTGTGCCTGAGAGTAGCTCTTATGGTAATTCAGACACATTGGATAATTTGATGAACAGTAGACCCTATATCCGGGGTCCTTTGACTTCAAGAGATTATGCTGATTTCAGAGGCAATGCAAGCGCAGGACTTGGGACAATTGGACCTACATGGGCGACAAATGTAGCGGCAGATCATGATTCTGTGGTTGTTAGTAGTGTAGCCGACTTCCCCATCCTGCAAGGACAAGGTCCGTGTACTCCAGGCATAAGTTGGAACTCCTTTGGTGTGCCTGAGAGTAGCTCTTATGGTAATTCAGCCACATTGGACAATTTGATGAACAGTAGACCCTATATCCGGGGTCCTTTGACTTCAAGAGATTATGCTGATTTCAGAGGCAATGCAAGCGCAGGACTTGGGACAATTGGACCTACATGGGCAACAAATGTAGCGGCAGATCATGATTCTGTGGTTGTTAGTAGTGTAGCCAACGGTGCCACCAATCTTCAGAATTCTCCCACAAACTTGGGAATCATGCAGGCAAATTCAAGCAGAGGTTCACAATACTTGTTGCGAGGACAATCAAGCAATAACAATATTCCTAGTCATCAGTTAATGAGGAATCTTGAGGACCAAATGCTACTTGCGCCTTTGCTAAATCAAAGATCAGATAGTGGTCAAGTAGGAGAGGACAGTGGTGACATGTCCAACATGCTGCAGTTCAAATCTCCCGAAAAAATTGATGGAAGAATTTTGACCCTTTCAACAGGAACTCACACGGAGATGAGCTCAAAACCTATCGTCTCTAGCAGCTGTAGTACTCAAGAAACTGTTGGGATCAATTATCATGGTCAAAAAGGTAATCTGCTGCATCAAGAAAACGGCACATCTGGAGGCTCTACTCTATTGCACAATTCAAATGGTAACTCTGTAAGCTCCAATAATGCCACTTTGTCCAGTAGACACCAAGAAGTCAGGTCAAGCCAGTGCGGCAATTTACACTTGCAGCATTGCAATAATAGATGTGTCTATCCTGGATCGGGCAATGGAAACCTAAGTCTTCAAGGAAGCATGGATATGAGATCTGCAAATATAGGTCAAAGTCATCTAGTTTCATCTTCAAAATCACCTGTCAGTGACCACTCTGTACTGCGCGGTTTGGCACAGCATGGGTCAACTAGGTTTCCATCTCCATCTTCTCTGTTTTGTCAGAATAATGCTCAAGCAGCTTCTCATGCATTGGGGAATTCTCGTACGCAAGCTGACAGGAATGTTTCGAGAGTGCCCTCTAAAGCAATCTCTCCGAGTAACAGCATCTTCTCTCCTCGTCATGGTCAGTCCGGTAATTTATGCATAGGCCTTCAGTCAACCACTACAATCTTTTGCATGTGTCCCTGACGACTAGCTCACGTGGACTTGCATGCTCAAATAGATTGATTGGCATTTTTTATTTATGCACTTTTTTGTCGCAGATGCTCACGTCTCCATTAGGGTTTCACATCTTATGCAGCTCTTTTTATGAGCTGTTAGTATAACCTTGTACAATAAGATGCTACTCTGCATCTGGAAACTAGCCATGTCGGCAATACGAGGTCAATGGCGTGATACGCCAGACAAACAGAGTTCAACGTCCTCCTCCTATCTATGCATTTTATACATAAACCGTTTGAATATGTCATGTAGAGTAATTAGGATGAAGAGAGTGCTGGACTGGATGTCAACAGTCAAGTTGAATCGAATATACAGGCTGTAGCTGGACCGGGCATCAACCATCAAGTTTCCAATCATGCAGATATTTCATTAGTTGTTGTTTGGCAGAAGAGTTGGAAGAAAGATTGGACTAGAAATGTGACCGTGTCTTGATATAATGAGATTCTTGAACATTGTTTCTTTTGGTAATTCCTAGCGGTGAAATGCTGTCCTATACATATGCTTTTATTTGAATAAAACTTTGTTTAGTAGGCTGTCAACAAGTCATTTATCAGGGTTCAGTAAAATCTTTGGCCACTCGATTGCAGGTAATCTAGGACAAAGTTGGGCAAATCATGTAGTTAAGCCAGTTCTAAATCTTCTTAGCTGCAGCTCTACTGGTATTTACTGGTTAGTAGAGTTTTACATTTTAGGTCTCATTGGTAATTACTTTTAATAAAATGCAGGTGCATTACCAAGCGCTGTTAAGCAACCTGAGCTTCAACAAATTTCCAATGTGCCCGTCGGACCATCTCGTAAGAGGGAGGCACCGCAACTTCCGGTGGCTACTTATAATGTGGTTCGCAGGAAGACCCAGCCCATCACTTCATCATCAATTTCTTCTTCAACACAAACAGCAACACCTTCACAACCTATCACTCATTCATCAGTTCCTACTTCAAGACAAACTGCAACAACTTTACAACCGACCACTAGGTCCTCTACTCCATGCATCCCATCTTCAAGGCCAACTCTGGCGTCTTTACAACCTATCACCTCGTCATATATACCTTCTTCAAGACAAAATGCTACTCCTTCACAACCCATACGCCAGGTTGCTTTGTCTCTGCCCCTTTTGGCCGAGCAGCATCAATCCATTGCAGGTTTCGTCCCAACACCACAAGTTGCGCCAGCATTTCCTTACCTAGCTCAGCCTATGCAGTATGCCCCCGTCCAACATCAGGGTGCTTTAGCTCAGCCATATATTCCAGTACCAAACCAGGTCACTCCAGTTCTCCCTCACCGATCTCAATCTGTAAGGCCTCCTTCAAATCAACGTCGAAATTCTCTACCTCGAGCTTCACCTCCTAGGCTCCCTGTGCATCCATATTATCCACCTCTACCTCGGTATTCTCCAGCAGCTCATGCAGGGCTGACTATAAGGCAGATTGCTCGACCTACGGCACCTGTATCACCGGCTGTTCCCCCAAGAATTGTACCTCAGGCTGCTCGTCCGCCGCCGGGAAATGCAAATCCTTCTGCACTTTCTGCGCATATAAGATTGGAAGGTATCTCTTCAGACTGTATTTTCTTTTCTATTTTGGTACTTACCTTTGGGAAAAGCATTCTATGCCTTCGCAATTAGGTCAATGGATCCTCTCAAGCCACTGTGGTATCATTCGGTATGATTAGAGCTTCATCATGCAGCGATTACTAACGGCCCTTGTCATGTTGCAATATCATCATTAATTGTGACTGGATGCTGTGACGATGTGGAAATCCACACGATACTGTAATTCTTTTTGCCGTGAAAGAACTGAAGTAGTAATTCTGATATTGCAGTTGAAGATGAAGCTTCCCAGCTCATTGGACATAATTGTCTCCTGTGCAACAGGGATCTTCGATATGTACCAGGATCAGGTCCTATCTCAATACCGTCCCGTCCGCCCACCATTTCTGTTCTTCCCTGTGGTCACACATTTCATGAATCTTGTTTGGACTGGATCACTCCTCAAGACCAAGCTAAAGATCCTCCATGCGTCACCTGTATTTTTGGTGAAGACTGAGTCCCGCGCTGCTCAACGGACACATCAATTTTTGCCGATTGTTGACTTTTAACCTCTGCCATTTTGGAGGCAATGACCAAAAGTATAGAGATAGATGTTACTGAAGTTTTATAAGAAGAGTCCAGTACCGGCTGAATGCATGCAATTGTTCATATACAAGGATAACTGGCATATAGGTTCTTCGGTTTTTTGTTCGCTGAACATATGGGTGTCTTTAGGAGCAAAGCACATGCTACTATATGGCATATGCGAGATACTGAGCAAGGTATGCTCTGCCATTGTAAACATTTTCAAACGGATTTTGCACCTCTTTTATGGACAAGAGGACCTTTGCTTTTGGGGAGATTAATCGGCGTTTCCAGTGGTCCAAATCATTGAAGTGTTTCGGTATCTTACTACTTTTTTTTACGTGTCTGCACCCTACCTCGCTCTCATTATCACAGTTTTACTTCTTTTCTCACACGGCTAAGAAGCTGCTGCACCCCAATTCGGCCGAATTTGTACAAGTGCCCAGTGTAGTAGTATCTTAGACTGATGATTCAGTTTTGCTGGGGGCACAAAGATTGGTAATTCATTGCAGTATGTTCTCGTTTCATGGTAGGAAAACGTTACCGCGCATGCTAATCTGCCATGTGCATAAACGAAGGATTAATCTAAACAAAGGCCCACTTAGGACCTTCTTTCGGATAGAAATGAAGGATAGAAATGAAGAGTGCATTTGTTTCACGGAAAATATAACGTTTTTGGAAATTGTTTTCCGGAAAATTATTTTTCAGGAAAATAATTAGTTTTCCTTTGTTTGGTGATACGTGATCGAAAATATTTTTTGGTGTTTGGATCTCAATTGGAAAATGATTTCAATCCCATGATTTTATCTCAAGCAAAAAAAGATTTCGATTTTTTAAATATTTTTATTTTTAAAAATAAAAAGGAAAAACAAAAAAAGAAAGAAAAGAATAAAATATTAGAAAAGTAAAGGGAAGAAATTTCATAAAGTATTTTCACCTTCTTTAATTAGGGAATTTACTTTCCAAATTTTATACATAAATATTTTCCTTGATCGGAAAGTGTTTTTGGTTGACTAATCATTTTCAACGAACCAAACAGGTAAAAGTCTGGAAAACAAATTCCCGAAAAACACTTTCCCTGAAACAAACGCACCCGAAGTGATTACTTCTATTGGGTCCATCAGGTATGTGGGCTAAGCCATCGAATCAAGTGGGGAGGATCGATGGTGTGTTTAAGCTGACAATGGCTAGCACTTGGATTACGCCATCCAATCCAAAGACCCAATGGCTAGCACTTGGTTCTTTATTTTGTTTTCCTCGTAAAGATGATCGTCACCCATCGTGGCTTATCGTTCACAATGTGGGGCCGGCTTGAATAATGGACACATCAAGATGGTCAAAATAGCAAGATCCGAAGATTGAATCGAGCGCGGAACGACGTGGTAAGTTCGATTTAGCATAGTGACGCGGATCACGTATGCTTTCGCGTTCAAACCCTGGTGGTGAAGTAAATACTAATATTTGAGCCCTAATCCTAGTCCCCAGAAGCCTTTATCGTACCTTGCTGCTGGCTTGCATGATGTGCAGGCAATGTGGGTTGAAGGGTATTATTAAGATCACACATTTCCGTGTGTTCTAAAACGTGGGTCATGGCTCATCAGATACCTGTCAACGTTAGGAGGGACATTAATTAGACTAGATAAGCTTTTGGCATGGGCCCTTGTAATTTTAAGCAGTTGGGCAATTTGAAAAACGATGATGGGTTCAAGGCTAACATAAACGTGACAGGAAGAAGGGCAGTTGAACAGGCCTGAGTTGACCTCCACTTGGATCACTCTGTTTTAAGTGGAGTTAACATAGACACATGCGTACACATACACACATACATTTGAAAAATGCTGTCACTGTGACTTGATCGGCACAAGGAACGAATATACACACTTTGATTAGTTAGTCCTTCTGCCGCTTTAGCGATTTCTCGGTGAAAATTGGCCGGAATAACTATATTGGAATGCCTGCGTAAAGTTTGAGGACTCAATTGTCAAAGTTAGAAAGATTAAGATTGAATTGGCATAGGTAATTTTTCCCAATAAAAATGGATGCATGCATGTTCAATATACGACGTCAAAATTTTGGATAGAAAGTCTCTTAATGACATATACATTGCTAACTGCCAAAAAAAAACATATATATATTGTTAGATTGAACCCTAAATATAAGTTGTGGATTTTAGAATGAGAATGACCCTATTAGGTTATACTACAAACTAATGATCATTTTCTTTTTGGAATTATTATATCTAAGGCGAATGCTTGCATTCGATAAGCTTTGTGAACTTCCAATAAAGAAATTTTGTTAAACGCCTCAATAAAGAAAGTTTATCCTGTCTGACATCTTCTTCTTCTATTTTTTTCCGTATTCTGTACGATCAGCGAACGCTCGTTAACAAGACCCAAATTAGAATTAAAATAAATATAGGAGAGGAAACATGCATATCTAGCAGTTGGGGGTTGCGGTTCGAAAACTTCTTGTGCACGGTGTACATATGTATCAATTAAATCATTACCTAATCGAGAGTGTCCCATACGGGGAATGACAGATAAGGTCCTAAGCACACGCTTATCGATTCCCCGATATCCTCCAACCTATCGGTTCTAAATAAATCATTTAATGACGAGATTTCCAAATAAAAACAAAATCATACGACTTGGACATCCCATTTGTATTGCTACGTAAATGGAGCATTTGAAAATTTTGAATTTGATGTCATCATGTCTAAACGAAAATAACGACCCTATAAATTATTTATGGTTCCGTTTGTTATTTTTCGCTCATGCATCTTACAAAAAAGAACGAACTTCGTTCACGAAAATTTCAGAAGTAAATTATTAGCGATAATGAAAATATTTTTTAAATGAAAACGCATGTTAATTTCAAAACAATTGAAACTATTAGTTAAGTTAAAATGCTGCGGCAGGCATATTCGTTTCGTGGGAATTTTCGACACGGCGGACAAAGATAGGGGCCGGCTAAAGGATAAAAACAAATACAAATACAAATACAAATAAATGACGCGGGAGGTGACGTCAAAATTGGTCGCGTAGAGCCAACCGTGGGCATCGAATCCCGACACCATCCTCGGTAAATCCGGACCGTCGAAAACACCCCCCGGACCCCCACCCCAACTCCCCCGTGGGGCCCCGGGTGGGTCCCCCCCTCGTTTTCTGATTGGGTATTTCTTTCGAGTTTTAAAGGGGGGGGGGGGGAACCAAACGATTTCCTATCTTTCTTGGCTCTCTCTCTCTCTCTCTGCTCTGCGCTCTGCTCTTTCTCGGTAAAATACCAAACAGCAACAAGAATCGTGGAGACCCAGGAGGCGAAGGCGACGACCCCACCGAGAACAGAACAGCGTTAAAAAGCTCTCACTTTGAGACCTCTTCCTCTCTCTCTTGGTGGGTGGGGTTCTTGTTTGGACCTTGAGGCTTGAGCTTCCGGGAGCTGTGGAGGTTCTTGAAATGGTGCAAGGAGAGAAGCCGGACGGCGGCGGCGGTGGCGGCGCGGCCGTGGATGGGAGCCTTCCGGGCTTCTCTCCGGCGGCTTCGAGCCCTCGGATTTTCTGGAAATCTCGCAAGAGATCAGGTAACGAGGCTCGATCCCTTCTTCCACATCGGAAGTTTGTGTGGTGATGCGCGTGATTTGGACGGATTTGTTGTTTTGGGTCTGTCGTATGCTTCGTGAAGTAGGAGAAAGTGCGAATCTTTTTTAGGGTCGCTGCATAAGTCCGACGATTTCCTCGTGGGTTCGTGTTTGTTTGAGTTGGGTTTGGTGTGAGGGTGCTTCGTATGCGTGTACTGCAGAAATTGCTTTCATTTCTCTGTTGCGCAATTGCTTATTGATTCAGCGAGAGAGAGAGAGAGAGGCACTTGCTGCAGCTAAGTCTTTGCTGGTACGTTACTTAACTGGTTGGGGTTAGCTGGCTTACCTGTCGTTCTCCATCTCTCTAACTATTTCGAATATCTATTTTCTTATTCAATTAAGGCCACCAATCCATTTCTTGCCCTGTTGCTGCAGTTAAGATGGATGGCTCCAAAAGAGTCTCTACTTATTTTATTGATTTCTTCCCCTTCAGCTACACCATAAGTTTTCAATATTTTTTTTTTTTTTGAGATGTGTGGTCTTTGTATATCTGCTTAATGTTTCGTGGGTTGTATTTTATATAGGGTGCGGGGAAATGGTCCATCTTTTTAGCGTCGACTCATTTTTCTCATGATTGGATCCAATTAATTGACTTTAGACAATTGGGAGTTCTTTATTAGAAGTCTTGACCAAAGTCCTTATTTCTATGGTTCTGTACCCTCTAAGACAAGAATTGTTTGTTCAGAAAGTTGTTAGTCTTTTCACAGTGCCAGAATTGCGATTTTGTGAACAATTGTCTGCCCTTCCGTTAGGTCAGTATGTCGTCCTTGTCTAACTACTAGGTATTTGTGTTTTTTCCCTTGGAGCAGCCATAACTACATAGCACTTGTTTGTGCCGTTGCATTTAATCAAGACAGTGTTTATGCAAGGGGACACATCCTTCAAACTTTTTCTCGCTTGGCAATGTGCGTAAATCCAAAGAGCGTCTTTCATTTTATGATTTAATCGATGGAGTTGTCGATGACAAAGCCACCTCCCCCCGTCGGCTTTTTAGGGTCGCATATTCGTCACTAATGGCATAGATGGAACTACTTGTGATTCGTTTTTACATATTTGGTATCCTTAGATGTGTTATATGAGATCATGGATGAGGCAAGATGTGTCTGCTGTTTGATTCATGTGATTTTATCTGTTTCAGTGTCTTATAGATGAACCAATCTTGTGGTTTGCCGCTAGCTTTCTGTTTGAAAAACAATTGGCCGTTGAGTTGCTGTAATTCTTTCAAACAAAAAAAGAAAATAGACCAATGATGCCTTCCATTCCTTCAGTTTTGGTGGCTCCAAAATTCCCTTGGACCCTCGGCTTTGGTCTCTTTTTCTACTCCGCTCTATGATCTTGAGTATAGGATGAATTGGGTGAGTGAAAACTGGATTAAAGGACTTGAGTGGAAACATAGGTTTGACATGTGCGCACCTGTGCTGTCTGTCTTTTTTTACTAGGATGTGTGAGCTGATTTGCTCATAAATTCTTTTTGATAGTCTCACATCTTGGATCCAATTAGTTATGGAAGAGAATACTAATTTGGTTGCTTTGCCGAGGATGTTGGCTTGGCGGCCTATATAATCATCTCTTTCGGCGTAAAGATGTGAATATGAAACTAGACCTCACTTGGGCACAGTTACAGCTTTACACTGACCTTTCTCAATGTATCAGCTTGAAGATTGTGCTTATTAATATCACTAGTGCTCATGCTTTTGATTGAGTTGTTCTCGATTCATAGTTCACTTCTTTCTCATTTTGAAGTCAAAAGAAAAAAAAGAAGGTATGCTTCTCACTTATTTGCAGTTCCAATTCTAGAATACTTGGTACTAGAATCTTTTCTTTTCCAAATTTCCAACAACTAAAATTTCCAACAGTTAGTGGGAAGTTGTTGAACGAGGTAGCAGATGCTGCTGATAAACTTCCCGACAAGCAGGAATATGTGCCGACAGATGAGAATATGCAAGACTCGATGCAGATGCCTCCACTATCCGAGCGTCGAAAGGCTCTGTTTGAGCCATTGGAGCCTGTGGGTAGCGCCAAGGGCCGACGGCCATCAAATGAGTCTTTGCTGCCACCGCCCGACTTCGATACTGCGAGCTATCCACGAGGCTGGCTGATCGGGAAAAGGCGAAAGCTTGTGAATGTCGACGTGGTTGAATCCATGAGAAGGATTGCTGTTCAAGAGATGAACAGAAAGGTGCTTATTAGCAAAAAACACCTAACCTCAACAAATACTAATCTAACGCCACTTTTTTCTACTCTTTAGTGAAATCTTAGAACCCAGACATGATGCGTGCAGGACAGGGAAATTGATGGCCTGAATGAGCAGTTGGAGGAGGATGCGCAGTGTCTCGAGCATCTGCAAGTGCAGCTACTCGATGAAAAGAGCAAGCGCTCCGAGGTCGAGAGAGAGAATACGATGCTGCGGGACCAGATATCGATGCTGATGAACATGCTGGACGAAAATGAATCGATGGAAGATGTGCCCGACGAGCCTTAGACACGGCCATGTTGGTAAAAACCTGTTCTTTCTTTCATTCTCTGTTTCAATTTAAAAGAGTCTATGAATATAAACGTATGAAAACAGCAAGGCATAGCTGGACCGTAAGAATATGCATGTTCTTTGATATGTTACTTTTCCTCCCAAAATTCGTTTTAGAGGGTTAGAGACTCCTTTGTTATCGAGGTAGCTGTGAGTGTCATTATCTATCTGGTAAAGACAAAAAAAAATATAGGAAATTAGCTGATACCATGTAAGTGCAGGTTCCTGTTTGTAATTGAAATTGAACATATCGGGTCTGTAATACAAAAGTCTGTTGATATAAACTGTATTGTTCTTCCTTTTTGCTGCGAGTTCTTCTGTCTGTTCCTCTCGCGGAGGAGCCGAGGACCGGCGGCATCGGAATTGACGCCATTGCTGACCTACCCCTCTCTCTATCTCTCTCCGTCTCTCTCTGTGGATTATGATCGGAATTTGCTCACGTGCCGTGTTGCTATTTCCTAGTTAAACAAGTCAGGCAGCTCAGGTGAGCTCGCCGAACCAATTGCAGGGATCACATGCAAAATATGTTCCTAACTCGATGGGGAACGCTTTGATCTCACTATATCATATCCGCCACGGTCTCGTTTGGACTAATTTTTGCCTTTTGACTTTTTGCCTTCTTTCTCAGAATTTTGTGGCGTAATGATTTGGCTACTCTTTTAATCGGTTCTCTTTTGTAAACCATCCCACCATAGCATACGTAGGTCCTTTACAAGCGGTAAAAAGAGCCAATTGAGCTCCCAAGGACTGCGAGATAATAGAGTTTAATCCAAGCTCCTCTTTTAGCCCAATCGGCCAATCTCTTAGGCTACAAATGACAAATATTTTGTTTCAGAAATCAATTTTTGGCCAGAAATTGATTTTTCTATTTCTATTCCTAGAGGAGTTTCTGAGCAAAAAAATACGTTTGATAACGACACAAAATTTCTATTCCAGAAATAGAAATTTGTTTGATAACGGTACAAAATTTCTCTCTCTCGGGTGACTGGAGAGTGGACAGTGGGCAGCGAATGGTGGCAACGGACGGTAGACGGTCGATGGTGGTAGTGAACGGCGGATGGCGGGGGGAGGTGGCGGCGAACAGTGATGAGGCCAGTGTGGAACATGGCAACTGGAGGCGGCCGGCAACGGGACGAGGGCAGCGGCGGGAGGAGGGCGATCGGCAACGGGAGACTGTGGCCGGTGGACGGCGACCAGCAGTGGGAGGTGGGCGATGGCCGAAGGCGGGCGGTGGTGGAGGAGGGAGGTGGGCGGCGGTGGGAGGTGGGCGGCGGCAGGAGGAGGGCGGCCGGCGGCGGGAGACGGTGGCCGACAATGGGAGGCGAGCGGCGGTGGCCGGTAGATGGCGCACAACGATGGGAGGCGAGCGGCGGCGGCGGGTAGCGGCAGGTGGCGGCGACTGACAAGTGGGCGGCGATGGGCGGCGGGTGGGTGACCGGCTAATAACGAAAACGAGCAATGAGAAGAATTTTAACTTCTTATTTCTGTTCCAGAAATAGAAAAGCAAAAAATTTTTACTTATGATTTCTGTTTCAAACCTATTTTTGAAATAAAAATTTATTCCAGAAATAGAAAATGGAATTGCATTACTAAACGAATTTTTGTTACAAACCTATTTCTAGAACAGAAATAAAAAAACAGCATAATTATCATTCGCAGCCTTAATTGCCACTCATCACAAAACGTATTGACAAAAGAGCATTATAACTATAGAGTTCTCGATGGCATATGGCACCCGAGACATCGCAGTGCAAATTCTTGGCAAATCACGGGTAAAAAAGGTCACGTCTACCGACTCTCCTGCATAAACTCCGCAAAGCACATGATCCCCTGTTTGATCCGAGTAAAACGGGGTCGCACTGCGATGTATTTGGGCAACTTGTCAGAATCGACAATCGTCCAAGACAAAAAGGCATGAAGTCTGGCGCGCAAAACGCCGGGTATGCTGCGCCTTCTCGCAAAACCACCTGTGGCCCTAAAACCTTTGAAATATACGCAATCCAACGTATAGATTTGTTCCAAACTCCAGCAAAACTACAACTGACTCCATTCAAGTTAAAATCCAATCAAACTTCAAAATGGAAAACTTTCATAATTGCCCCAAAAATCCAGCACTTCTCTAACCATACACAGATAAGCAATCAGGTTCGGAGGCCGAAAGGTAGGACCCAATTTTAAAAAAAAAGAAGTAAGGTCTAGGCTCCCTATTTCTGGACATGAAGATTAACGTCCGGATTCTTCATCAATTCTAAATCTCAGAATCCTAAAAACTGGAGATCATGCCTGGCAACTCTTATCTACTTTGATTTTTAAAATCCTCCAACAGGATATGAGGTAGAGAGGCTATTTTTGGAAGATTAAGCAGCAGTTCACCCACAGATTCGTTTCTCAGCATCACCTGTCTCTTGGGACGTGTCAACTCATTCTTCGGCTCAGCCCCCGATCCACATCGTTCCTCAGTAATTGCAACCTCACGTGCAGGAGCAGTGCTGTCATTTTGCACATCCATGTCGTTATGTTTTTCTGTGGTTTGCAGATGTCCTGCGGTTGAATCATCTTTCTGGAGAAGACTGCAAAGCGAATTGACCCTCGACAAGAAAGCCCGTTCATCCGAGGCCGAAACTTGCGAGTCACTAAATAAGTATCTGGTTAAATCCTCCATAACATCCGTGCTCTGTAGTTCCTCAGCAGATAAGAGTGGATCCCCAGCTGCCCTTCGTTCTGTAATGCAATTGCCAATGTGACTGACCAAGTCACTCACCGACATTGAGCTGTGGAAACCAGGTACTTTTATCTGGCTGCATAGTTTCTGTGCCTTCCCAATTTCTTCGACAGCACAGCCATCGACCACTGCACAAATCAGTAAATTGCGTCTTAGAAAAAAATAGTCACATCCTTTAACATGAGAAGTGATGATTAAGGAGCCACTTAAGGGCGCCTCTTCATTACGTATGCATTCGCATGAAGTTCCAGAGAAAGAGTAAGGTCAGCAAAAGTGGCTTATTTCTACACACAGCACAATCTTAGCAAATGCCCAAAATACTGACTGCAAATATAAAAGCAAAATAGAAAGTGCCATTTCTATCCAAATTAACGTTCAATGCTTTCTTCCGACCAGAAAAAAAGTTAAAAATGCTTTCTCAAACTGTAGACAAAAGAGAACCGATTTCACGGCACTCATACAAAATATATTGTGTACAAGACCAGCCTAAGGCTTAAGCTGATAAGGGTTATTCATCAGCCGCAATTGCCGGAACATCTAACACCAAAGAAAAGGGCAGAGACAATTTTAATTGGTTCTGAATTGTACTTGTTAAAGACAGATACATCCAGCTGCCTATCTCACATGGACAAGAGCATTCTTACTTTTATAAAAATTCAAAGAGATGGTGCAAATTATATCATGACATTTGTTCCAATTTTACACAACAAAAACATAGGAGAAATATTGTAAGCAACCATCAACGTTCACCAATAATATTGGACAAATATTTTTACCAGAGCTGGGGGAAGATGTGGTCCACAGGAAATTATCAGGAGCTGTACCAACAAAATCCTGCTGTTCACTCTTTCTTGGACACAATTGGCTTGCAGGAGGTGAAGTGACATGACCCATAGCAAACAAGGAAGATGCTTCCACACTTAGCCCAGGGAAATTTGGTCCATTCTTGTCCAACAAAGAAAATTTGGTATCAAAATATGGAGAATCCACTGCTATCTCTGGTTGTTGACTAAGAAAATGGAGACGTGGATCGCATTGAATGAGCTTTTCAAAGTGCCTCCCAAGTAGTCCTTGCGGGCACTGCAGAAAATGGTGCCTACACCAGCAATAAGAATCCCACTGTCATTGTCGGTACTACATAAGAGGAAGGTTTTCACTCTTTCTCTCTCTTTAAAGAAAAAAAGAAATCTATAGTTGCAACATAAAACTCGAGCAGACTAGTGCAGAGTGCATATGCAAATATTTTAAGAACAAGCTGGCTTAACTCGTTACAAGCACAAGTACTTTAAACAAATATTTTTTGGTAGATGTTTAATCCTGGGGAGAACAATACTAACCACTTCTCTGCCTCACTTTTATAAAGTAATGCTCATTTATATTACTGGCATATAAAGGAAATCCTGCTACCAAGACATAATGCAGTCAACCATTGAGTGATGTGTGATATACTGTGATTGAACAGCTAATGAGAGTGACCCCAGAAAAAAGAAGTTTCATCTTACCTGTGTATGCTCGCTTGTCCATTGGTAAAATCCGATGTTGGCTGCCACAATGTATGCTTCCGAGGTTGTGGATTTGTCTCCCTAAAGAAAAGAGGCTGTCTTGCCAGCTAGATACAAAATGTAACGCATCATTCATACAGAATCCAGAAATGGAATTAAAATATGAAGCAACCAAGGAAACAATGATTACCACTACGCCTAGATTATCGTTTCCTTCCATAGAATAATTTGCCTTGACGGCCACGATGTCCGACCACTGAATTTCGATCTTATTCTTAAGAGCACCGTCAAGAACTTCCCAAACGAGTTTATGCTTTGCAAAGTAGCATTTCGCCACCAAGTCACCCTCATATCTTGACCTATACTGCAATTTAATGACAAAGCCAAATACTACGCATCATTCAACTTAAAACATAATAACTACACAAGATGATCAAACGAATCTACCTCCCACGCGCCAATTTTGAGAACTGAAGCAGGGAAATTGGAGGCCTTGAGCTTATCGGCAGCAACGCCTTTGTGAGTTTTATTGCCTGAAGTGGATGATATCAGAGTGGGTTCTTGAGAGAGCTTCATTTGAACCAACTCCACAAAGGATTCACTTTTCTTAAGCCGCAAACCCAGCGGGCTAGGCTCATTCAGCGGATTGTACACTTCTGGTGGGATTCCGAATATATCGCCACCAACTAAATCACCCTGCCGCGCAAAGACATACTCGCAGATCAATATCAGAGAACCAACCAACCCTACTGCAGCTTATGATAAACAGGAAAACATCCCCTGCTTCCAGACCGTTCAGGGACAACAATCAACCAATTACCGACGATAAACAGTAACTTAGAAACGACCCCATTCCAGTGATGGGATTTAAATTTCGATCAACTGAAAAACAGCTACAATACACAGCTTGCGAAACGAGAAAGCGAAAGCAGGAAAGAGCAGCAACTCCTCTTTGAAACTCAAAAGTCGAAGCACACGTCATAGAACCAGTCCACTACGATTAAAAAGGATTCAACTCATACCGAACAGAAAGCCGCTCCCTCCTACTCCGTGAAGGTATAGATAACTATTGACACAATCTGCTGATCCTAATCCATGTTCGTCAGCCAATCAAGCACAAAATCTACTGGCCCTTTCATCATCAGCAGAAAAATCAGTTCAAATCAACTGCAAGAATAACTACGGACTGATTCGGATGGTCCGTCCTCGGGACACGACCCTAATTTTTTATTTTGATACTGTGCTATCGACACAAAACTAATTCATTCAGATAATTTTTCCGCCGCAATCCGTTCGTATATCTTTTCTTCCGGTGACGCGTTTGCTTCTCGCGTTCTCAAGCACGCGACACCTCCCTCCCCTCCCCTCCGTCGCGCACGCGCGCGCGCGCGCTTGCGCTTTAAAGGAAAAAGGGAATTGAGGAAGTCAGAGAAGCGAACGGACCTGCAGAGAGAAGCTGAGCTTCGGCCGCTTGTCGGAGTGGGCGAGATCGTCCCGATCGACCCGGTCGTCGACCTCGAACTTGACCTTCCCCTTCCCGCACGATTCCGCCATTCCAGGAAGATGAACCATCGCAAGCCAACGCCAGAGAAGAAGGAGGAGGAGGAGGAGACAGAATCCGGCGCGTCAATTCCAATCCCCGAAACCACAGCTCCCGAATCTCGAACTAGCCTTCGCACTGCACACGACCGAAGAATCTCTAATCTCTATCTCTCTGGTTTTTTTTTTTTTTTTTTCCTTTCTCTCGCAGGGAAGAAGAAGAAGAAGAAGAAGAGTTTGTTTTTTGTTGCGCTCCCTCTCGCTCTCTCTCTGATGAGGAAGACGAGCCAGCGGAGCGACGCGCGTCGACCGAATCGCCACGTGTCGCGGGCGTGGCAGCTGGGAAATTCCCCTGGGGCCCCCCTCGCGGTCGCGAAATAACCGAACCGGGCTTGGCGGCCGAAATCCAGGAGGGGGCACCGACGTCTTTTCCGCCGGCACGCGCGGTTTCCGGATAAAAAGGGGCGCGGGCCCCAGGGGGGTCGGGAAGGTTCCTCGGGGGGGGGGGGGGGAGGAGGGCAGGGGCGATGGACGATCCTGATCTCGGCTGCGATTGGTGACACGTGTCGCGCCAGCTGGGCTACGCGACACGTCCACGGCGTCGTTGGCGTGCCCGGACACGTAACGTCGGTCCTTTGGGGGTTGTGGGGAGTGGGGCCCCCCGGGCGTGTTGCGGATAAGATCGCCACGTCGGTCGGACCGTGCCTTTTACTCTATCTACCTGAAAGGGAGAAAAGGGTTAGGAAAAAAGGAAACAAATATCGGACGAAATCGGAGGCGATTTCTCTTTCCTAAAAAAAAAAGGCACGAATTGGATTCCGATTGAAATTACAAATTAAATCATATGCTTTTATTTAAATAATTTGACCCGAGATCCTGACCAAAAACTAAAAAAAAAAATTGATCCGAGATCGGATAATTACGGAGCTACTTTAAGTGCAAATATACAAAGATTGATGTGATAGCCCGACCAATAAAGCATTCGACGCGACGTCGGGGGAGGAGGGACATCACGTGCTAGAGAGGTGCAATTCACCTATAAGAAGTTTTCTGTTTAAGGAGGAACAAATGGCCTTTAAATTTTAGCTCTATATGCAATTCAGTCCTTGAATTTTTAATTTATTTAATATATTTTCTGAGCTTTTGTTTAATATGCAATATCGCCTCTGAACATTCCTGAAATTTCGATAAACGTTCAATCTACTTCCATAAATTATAATACAATACTGTCATTCCATTATTTCAAGTTCATGGATAAATATTGAATATTAAATATGTACAAAAAGTTGGACGATATTGTAAATTGAGTTAAAGTTTATAGATCACATTAAAATCAAAAGTTCACGGACGATATTACAGATTGAGTAAGATTTCAGGCGCCGCTTATGTCATTTTCTCAAAAGTAAACGAGGAAAGAAAATGGTGATGCGTGTTCAATCTCTTCGTCTCCAAGCAAGGGGAGAAGAGGAAAGGCTTAAGCACGAGCTAAAAGGAAAACAACACAAAAGGGCAGGAGGCCCATTAAAGGCCCATAAAAGGCCCACGGTAGTATCAAACAGGAGCAAACGCCATAAGAAGTGGGCCACACATGAATAGGTGCGCGAGGCCCAAAAGGCCCATTGAGATAATATTTATGTGCGGCTTTTTTTTTTTTTCTCATCATAGATTTTGTACCAAATAAAAGCTAATTTCTCGATCTCTACGTCATCTCCTGACGGATACCCGGCACTCTAAATTTGTTAGAGATATTTAAGATTTTCTTCGGAATATATGTCGGTACTTTGTATCCCTCAAGATTGCACATATATCTGTTTTTTGGTTGCGCATATCTTGATCGTTGCGTTGTCTTATATAGTCATCTAACGAAGATCTGTGTGATAGTCCCGGTGACGCACTATGCGCACGAGACATGACATGAATGTCGGTAAATCCGCCCAGCGCGCCCCGTGTCCGCGGGTCGGGATCGATAGAGGAAAGACGGAGGTTGGTGAGGCGAGCCCGATTAAGTGGGAGCAGTTTTATTGAGCTCTGCTCGTTGCTACGCACGAAGAAGAAGTGTCGGAACTGGACCATTTCATGCGCGTGTGGACCAAACCGAAGCGCTGCCCTGCACGGATCAAGCGGGGGAACAGCAGAGTACGTTGGGGAAAGGGGATGATAACGCTCCTCTAAAATCTCCTGTAAACGCGAAATGACCGCACAAGAAGATGCAAACTAGAAGTGGAAGATCAAAAGAGTCAGTGAGGGTGCTCAATGTAGACTAGACTACGTCGACCCTTTTGCTCTTGTGATCCAACTATAAGAATATTCAACGCAAAAGTTTAATGTGCTCGGCCTGGCTCGGCTTGTGAAATGGGCGTAGCTCCTGTCGTGTGAACAAGTTATGACCACGGGCAATGAGTTTCTAAGGGCCCGTTTGGTAACGTGCCAAATAGTAAAAATTTCTGTTCTTTTTTTCCCAGAAATAGTTTGGGAACAGAAATGCGTTTGGTAAACTTTTTGTTCCCGGGCATATTTTTGCAAATATTTGTGCCGAGAAACAGTTTTGGAAGAGAAACAAGAAGTAAAAAAAAATTGCTTCTTGTTTCTCGGCACAATTTTGAGAATCAATTTTTTTTCTTTTTTTTCTTTTCTTCTTTTTGTGTTGCTCTTCTTGGGTTGTGGCCGGTCGCCGCCAGCCGGGCGGCAGGCCACGGCCAGGGCCGCGAGGCTCGGCCTCGCCCGGATCCGGGCGAGGCCGAGCCTCGCCATGACCGACGGCGAGCCGCCTCGCCCGGGCGGCGAGGGTCCGCCCTCGCCCTCGCCTCCGCCGTGACGGCCGGCGAGGGCCGTGACGCCCTCGCCGGCCCCGGGCGTGGCCGGCCACCGGCCATGGCCTGGGTAGAAAGAAAAAAAAAATTAAACAATTCAAAATATTATTAATAAAAAGAAATTTGTGTATAGTTACCAAACGCATTTCTGTTCTTTTCTATTCCAGAAATAGAAATTTTGGACAGTTTACCAAACGCCTTCAAATGCACAGAAATTGTTTCCGGGCATAGAATCAAAAAAAATCATTTCTGTTCAGAAATAGTTCCCGGGCACAGAATGGTATTCATGCGCACCCTAAAAGGGAGTGAAAGAGTGGAAGAGCTTTTGACCCGTTCAACTCAAAACCGTTTTTTCTTTTTTTTTTTTCTTTTGAAAGATTGAGTTAATAGATGGAGGGAGGGAAACTCCACGAATGTAAGACACTTTATCATCGGATATTTAAGCGACATGTGCTTAACATATACGAGCTAGTACTAAGTTGTCAAGATATGCTCATAAAAGGAAGGTACTGCAAAGTTATTGCTTGCCCTAGTTTGCTCTTCTTTTAAAGGGAAAAAAATGAACAGCGGGAATGGGTCACAAGCGGTGGTGACCCTCCTAGACAGTACTTTAGAAATTTTGTACCCGTGACATAATTACTGCTCATTTTGAGCGTACCCATCACCACAATCCCTCCACGGTGCTAGTGGGAGAAAAGTCGGGGTGATCCTCCATTATCATAACCTGGCCGAAACCTACACCACAGATGAACCAAAGCATCCTGATGCTAAGGAACCACTCGGTTCCGACGTATAATTAAGGGAGCCCCAAACTACTTGAGAGTAAGCCCTATACCATTGCGAACCAAAACTTAGTGAGGCTAAAGAACCACTTGGGGTTTTCAACTTGTAACTAAGGACGTCCCAAACCACTTAAGGGTAAGCCCTACACCATTAGGTAAACCGCCGTGATGATCTCATTTCGCCGTTTGCGATTTTTCTCTCGAGACTGCTCATATCATTCTCGTTAAAAAGTATCCCGAGGGCAGCTCGTCAACAAGTCATCTAAAGTAAGTTTTCAGCTCTCCATACGCAGTATTTCTCGGGCTACGGAATTAACCCTTTCGAAATAGAAACATTCCCCGTGAAGCATGCTTGACGAATGCCTCGAGAGCATCTGTTAACAAGATCTCACTCATGTAAACGCAAAGATAACCGGTGCTTCTTAAAGGAGCTCAAAAAGGTACGCAATCATATGGGATGTCGACACATCGAATCTTCAATTGTAGTTCTGTGCTTGGACCCTCTCTCTGTCTCTCTCTCTATTGGTACATGGCCAGGTCATAAACAGGGAACATGACATGAATTGCGTTCGAGAAATGAGCGATACTAAGTTGGTGGAATGGGCGACGCCATTTATTGAGCCACGCTAGCCCCCCCATCCACTTTCACCATTTTGCCCCCCCGAAAGAAAAAGAAGAAATTTCAGCCAGGCCCCTCATAGGAACAAATCGAGGGGGAAAGGGGAAGCATTAAACAGCGTCTCTTCCGCGGACATACGTATCTCCGATGATCGAGACGAGATGGGCCGAAGGAAATTCGATGTCTCCTTCGATTAGGGAAATGATCGAGCTTAACTATCGCGATCGCGGCCTAATTTCGGCTAATCGGCTCGGTCGTGATGTGATCGCGCGCGGGGTCGTTATACTCTCGAGAACCCAAAAAAGCATTGGCAGGGATCCGAGGTGAATCTTTCGTCTTTCGGTATCGTACGAGTCGACTGGAGCCCCGATCCCTACATTCTCTGTCAGTCCGTGATTGAGATCAGAGGAGAGCAATCGGCCGTGCGGAGTTGGCGGATGGGAGGTGCCCTTTTAAATGCGAGTGCTTCGGTGGATCATAAATTCCACCTACAAAACTCGGCCCTGAAAGCACGAAGAAGATGGTCGGCAGAAGAGAGAAAATTTAACCACTCCGAAGAAGAAATTAAGAGAGAGAGAGAGAGAGAGTTGAATGTTGGGAATTTGATTTCTCTTTGGGAGGGATTAGAGGGCTCGACAGTGACAAAGCTTAAGGTCCAAAGAACTATACACATGTTCAATCTTTTCCGTTGAGACCGGATCACTTTCGAACGGAGAGCGCGTCGACTGAACGATGCGGTAAATTTCTAACGGGTGTTTGAATTGGTTTATTGATTGAGATATAGATTTACTGTTTACCACACGTCATTGGATAAATCCACTATATAAATATATGGATGTTGATATTTTGACATTACTGTTTTGAATATGGACATACATATTAGAACGTGAATGGAGCTGATCGTGTTGTATAGAAACGGTGTCGAAGTATGATAAGAGTTCTCATGGAGGCCAATTGAAGTCCTTAATATTTGTACACATAGGCTCATCGTAATGGAATGCGCTCCCATAGTTAATTTTCCACTTACAATCCTCTTAAGTTCGGTCAGTTGCTCGATAGAAAACGGAAACATTACTATGTAGATGGACTCATTTGTTTTGCTTTTGACATGACGAGCGTAGCTCATGTTCCTTTGTTTTTTTTTTTTTTTTTTTGAGTTAGAACTCAAAGTGAAATTAATTTGACATGTTAGAGCGAGTCTCGCCACACCGGCCGTACACAACAAAATACTAAAGTACAGTGTAGGTAAATCTTCGGGTGCTAGGTCACGAAGAAGCGAACGCTCTCGAATCTCCCAAGAGCCTGGGTACGGACGGCCCGCCTTTCTGCCAGAAGGACGAAGAGGGATTAGGGCCTGTTTGGTTTAACTTTGAAAATGCTACTTGGGGGAATGCAAATACCTTTGGGTGATAGTCCATTGGGGAAATGCAAATGGTGTTTGGTAAAAATATTTTGTAAAGCTACTTTGGCTAAAATATAGTGTTTGGTGAATTTTTTTTGCAAATGGACTTTGAGAATTATCTTATTTATTAAAAAAAAAAACTAACTTACCTATCACCGGAGCCGGCCGCCGGCGAGATAGATCTGCGCGCCGGCGGCCGTCGCCGAGGTCGGGCGACCCCGGCGAGCCGGATCTGCCACCGCCGGCGGTCGCTGAGCCGGGCGACCCTCGGCGGGGGTCGCGCGACCCGGGCGACAATGCCTGAGGTCGCAGCGACCCCAAGCGGCGGCTGGGTCGCTTGACCCGAGCGGCCGTCGCCCCGGGTCGCATGACCCAGGCGGCCGTCGCCTAGGTCGCTCGGCCGAGGCCGTCGCCGCCTAGGGTCGCTCAACCCAGGCCGTCGCCGCCTGGGGTCTCGCGACCTAGGCGGCGACGGCCTGGGTCGAGCGACCCCAGTGACGACGTCGCCTAGGTCGAGCGACCCCAAGCAGCCGTCGCCGCCTGAAGTCGCGCGACCAGGCGACGACCGCCGCCTGGGGTCGCTCAATCCAGGCCGTCGCCACCTGGGTCAAGCGACCCCAGCGACGACGTCGCCTGGGCGGTCACCCAATCCCAGGCAACCTCGCCGGCCCTTCTCCCTCGCTAGCCACCCTCGTCGGCCGCCCTCACCAGCTGCCTGGTGAAGAAGATGAACAGCTTCAAACCAAAAAAAAAAAAAAGAGAGACCTGAACAGTAGCATTCGTGGAATGCTGAAAGCCCAAGGCTGGTCCGGACCAGCTTTGGGCTTTCAGTATTTGGAATGCTAGCATTGGCCAAATGCTAGCATGAAAGCTGAACCAAACACCCCAGCATTTTGGGAAGGGGCTTTCGAGGCTCAAAGCCCCTTCCCAAAGCTGAACCAAACACTCCCTTAGCCCGATCTGTGAAAACTGGCCCGAGATACCACCGAACCGCGCGGCGCAAAGAAGGGCAAGGGAGCGCACGCGCGCCAACACAAGTAGATCGAGGCAAAAGCTAAAGCAAACAAGTGAGGACAATGAAGAAAGACTCGTAGCACAGGCCGTTTCAAGACGGCCGTAACATTAACCCTTCCTCCTCCTTCCTTCCCCTGCTCCTTCTTCTCTCTCGAAAAGCCGGCTTCTCGTTAACTCTCTCTCTCTCCTCGCTCCTTCTTTTCTATATAAACATTCTCTTTTCAGCTTATAAAAAACTCTTTTTTTAATCACTTGTAGCCCCATCTGATCAACCCTTTTTTCATTGGACGACTCTCTCTCTGTCTCTGTCTCTGTCTCTCTGTGTCTCTCTTTCATTGAAGCTCCTTCTTCTTCTTCTGACACTATACTATATAGTCCAAGCCCGAGCTTCCATTTCCGCTGGAAGCTTTAATGGCGAAGACCTCGCAGTCGCAGCAGAACCAGGAAGAGGACTCGGACCCCAAGACGGACGGCGGCAAGGGAGCGGTCGCGAAGGCGAAGGCGAAGCGCACCCGCAAGAGCGTCCCCCGGGACTCGCCGCAGCAGCGCAGCTCCGTCTACCGCGGCGTCACCAGGTTCGATACACCTCGACGTGTCGCGCATCCCTTCTTCTTCTTCTTCTTCTTCTTCTTGGAGTTAGATGTGCGCGCGCTACTGTATATTTTGCAGGCATCGATGGACGGGTCGATACGAAGCTCATCTGTGGGACAAGAACTGCTGGAACGAGTCGCAGAACAAGAAAGGAAGGCAAGGTAATTATTAATTAGTTAAATAAAATTAATTCGTTGTTAATCCATTTCTTTTCTTTTTTTCGCAATTTTCTTTTTAAGATTTAGCCGAATAAGTCTTTTTTTTCTTCTTTTTTTCTTATTTTTTGTTCTGTGGCTATTGATCCGGCGACGATTGTGGCGACGGAATCTCACCGGAATGCAGTGTATCTAGGTGAGTTCGTTACCTATATAAGCAGCTCCTGCTTCTCATTTTGTTTATTTATTTATTAATCTATTTTACTTTTTTTCGGGTTTTTGATATTTCATTTTCAAGAATATCTTATATACCATGCAGAAATTATATAAAATAAAAGGAATAACCCCCCCCCTTCCATCCCCTCTGTAATCTCTTTCGTTTTCTCGAGTATTAAGAAAATACCAATTAAATTTGCCGGCATAGGGAAATTTCCTTTTTTCGCGAATATTCCGTCGTAATTTATTTATTTTTTTCATCATAATTTAGTTATATGTGTAAAAAAAAATGGTGATTTTCCAGGGGCTTATGACGATGAAGAAGCCGCAGCACATGCATATGACTTGGCCGCATTGAAGTACTGGGGACCAGAAACCGTCCTTAATTTTCCTGTAAATTTCTCTCGTTAAAAATATAAAATGAAAGCCTTGTTTTATTCATTCTTTAGATCAATATATATATATGTGCGTGTTAATATTTCCATCAAATTTTAATTAATTACATGTTTAATCAATTGTGGCTCCAGTTGTCTGCATATGAAGAAGAGCTGAAGGAAATGGAAGGCCAATCGAAGGAAGAGTACATTGGATCCTTGAGAAGGCATGTTTAGATTAAATTGATTTTTCACATTTCCCACTTAATTTTTACTATCTTTTTTACGTTTTTGGCCTTAGATTGTTAAAGATATTTTGTTTTTGTTTTGGTGAACCCTAATTTTTCAGAAAGAGCAGCGGATTTTCCCGTGGAGTCTCGAAGTACAGAGGAGTTGCGAGGTAAATTACCAGAGAGCCCGCCTTACTCGATTAGAACACGAGACCACAGTCGTCGCACCCTGCATTTCAATAAACAATCGAGGGTGATGTAGAGTTTCCCGTCTTTCACACGTTACGTCGAAGATACATTATTAGCCATTTGTTTAGCAGCCACATAACTAATACTTTGAAAATATTTGACTCCCAATAATATTAACAATTAAAAATAAAATAAAATAAAATAAAGTAGTTAGTGTAGAATTTCCTCCGTAACCACATATTAATGTGACTTATGTACCTCCCCCAGCGTAAGTCAACAGCTATATTCTATAGTGAGAGGTTGACTTCTAACATCCACAAGTTTCATGGGTGAAAAGTTAATGAATTTAGTTGACAGTTGTATGTCATGTTGGAGGAGTAGCCCGACAATGTAGTTGGACATCGACGGCCTACAATGCACGATGAAAAGTTTATTTTTTTATTTTATTTTCTTGCAAAATAATGAATATATTATACATATATAATATATATGATCATTATTCTATTTTTATTTTGCCAATTTCCTACATGGTCTGCACAGGCACCATCACAATGGTAGATGGGAGGCTCGAATTGGGAGAGTGTTTGGCAACAAGTATCTATATCTTGGGACTTATGGTAAATTTTCTTGCTTACTTTTAGTTCCCTAAATACATCTTTTTTTTACCCCCAATGTTAGAGATGGATATGCATTAATTCAATCCATTTTGAAGATTGAAGTGAATTAGCATGTCGTGCAAATATCAGTTCAGTCCTAAATTTCTCGATTTTGTCAAGTCTAGTCCCGAACCTTCGCGTAAGATTCTAATGTAGTCCTCCAGATCAATTTTCGACGGAAACCGCCGACGTGGCGGTCCGGTCATTGCCCTGTCGGCGATTTTCGACGAAAATTGATCGGAATGACTATATTGGAATCCGTGCAAAGATTTAGGACTGAATTGGCAAAATAGACAAGCTCGGGACCGAATTGATATCCGTATAATAGGTTTAGGAATGATTGGAACTATTACCGATAATTTCATCTACCAAAAGAAGCACACGTCCATCATTTCAAACCTCACCTAAAATATAAAGAATTCTAGAGGATTTTGCATAGTTATGGAGTTGGTCCATCGTAGGTCTTTGAATCTTGGCCTTTGCCCACTAACCCTAGAGGTGCCTTTTCCCCCCATTTAGTTAGACATGAAAGTTTCTCTGGTCTTGAACGGGCTCTATCCCTTTTCAATTCTAGACGCTAGTGGACGAATAAAAGCAGAAACTTTCATTACTATTTTTCTCAACATGCATCCGCAAGATTTGCCAAATATACAGGAGAGTGAGGCCTACGCCTACGTGACAATACTAACAGAATAAATGCCGAGCGCCCAAGTCAGGAAACTTTTCTAATTTTCCCACACATCCTCCTCATCCGTCGCCGTCGACATACATTATCGGTAATCCCGTTCGAGCAAGTATCGACGACAACGGATCTCAGATGCGTGGGAAAAAGCTCGATCTCATAGCATATACATCCTCGAACGGGGCGTAACGAAAAATGGTCAATCAATCGAACGGTGTTTAGTACAATTGCGAATCCAATGCATCGTTAATTTTGTCATTCCATGGGATGACTTTTGGGAGCTTTTTGGTCGACATGGACGTGTTGGTTGAGATGTAGATCACCAAACCCTTCAACCGCTTCTTCAGCTATTTACTCTCGTCGTTTCAAGCGTCGCACGGAAGAAAACTATGAAGAGTGTCCCTCTTCCAACTCCCTCCTACCAATATGTTCATGCAGAATAAATTCTTCTGATTTATGACGTGGGGTGTGTCCAATCTTGTATTTGTCGAGACCTGCGCTGGAAACACACATGATGTCACGAACACGTCGTTTTCATCTGAATATTTTGTGTTTTATTTTTGTCGTGTTTTCTGGTGTTGATCTCAGCTACCCAAGAAGAAGCGGCCACCGCATACGACAGGGCGGCCATAGAGTACCGGGGGCTCAACGCCGTCACCAACTTTGACCTCAGCCGTTACATCGAGGGGCGCCAGCCCACCGCCCCGAACGGCTCCCAGCAAAGCCCCCCCGGCGAGGCGGGCGGCGCCGCAGCGGCGGGGGGGCCGGCGCATCACCCGCAGCAGGGGGGCGGCCCAGCCTCCTCTGCGCTGAGCCTCCTGCTGCAGTCGTCCAAGTTCAAGGAGATGCTCGAGAGGACGAGCTCGGCGGAGGAGGACCGCGCGGGGTCGTCGTCGACCACGTCCTCGGAGTCCGAGGTGCCCCGCCGGAGCTTCCCGGACGACATACAGACCTACTTCGACTGCCACCACGATGACGCAGGCGGGTTCGGCGGCGACGACGGCATCTTCGGCGACCTGAACTCGTTCGCCTCCCCTATCTTCCATTGCGAGCTCGATGTCTAGCTGACGTTAGCAGTCTTACTAGGGAGATTACATTAAGCTCAGCTTCGCGAGTTGCAATGCAATCATGCACGCGAATGGGGCCAATATGGGAGTGAGGATAGCGACGGGAAGGGAAGATGACGATGGGAATCGGTAAGAGTCAAAAGAGACAATCGAGATTCTTTTTTTTTTTCCTTAAATTACTACTATTATTGCTAATTTTTTTTTCTTTTAAATTACATGTAAATGATGGGGGATATTCTTTTGCTAAGGATTTATTTTACGTTTTCCTATCTATTTTGGGTCGTCCTGTGTAAGACAAGGTTTGGCATGTAAATCGACCTTACTATAATTAGGCTTGATTTCATTTTCTTTTTCTTGTTTTTTTTGGCTCTAATCTTACGTGCTTTCGTCCGACTATAGACAAAGATATAGTGTTGGGACTTATCAATCCGGGGTCACGTGGCGTGTAATATTAACGGGTTATACTTTATGGTTGCATTACAAGACACGATCTAAGGAAGGCGACGTATTTGATTGATGAGTAAATTGAATCATCAGCCGTGGCGGTAGACATCGCGGGATGTGTTAAAGACCGTGGTCCTTTTCAAGAGAGGCAAGTTTTCTTGTATGATTTAGAGAGGGTCACATTCTTGAAATGCAATTCCAAATGAATAATCCCAATTAAACGCGGGATGTAATTTATAATTTAGAAGGGATAATTGCATAAATGGTTCTTGAGCCTTGACTCAATATACAATATCGTCCCTGAACTTTTAATTTGTTCAATTTTGTCTCTGAACTTTTGGTACATGTTAAATCTAGTCTAGCGACCATCTAAAATTGTTCAATATTATCCGTGAACATTTGGAGATTAGTCACAAGCCTTTGATATTCCCTTGTCTTGGTGTTTGGGAATTGGGAGCGCTAGGAGAAAGATAATCGGGGAGAAAATTCCTCAAGGTTTCATTTGTTTCGTGAAAAATGTGATATTTCCGATAAATGTTTTTCAAGAAGTTATTGTCCAGGAAAATGACTATATTTTCCGGTGTTTAGCTAAAACTTGAAAATGAACTGAAAAATATTTTTCGTCACTTGATGTGGAAAATCTTATTTGATTTTTTTAAATGGACAAACATTATTTTGGCATTGGTAACTTGCGCGTGGGCAACCGAGAAATTGAGTATGGACATTAAAATCCTGGGTTTGGCCTTGATGGAACTCAACCCGAGTGCCAAGGATCGGGCACAAACACTTGGGTTGCGAGCGCGACCTCAATGCACTTGAACGTGGGCACCAAGAACTCGGGTGTGGCTGCAATGGACCTGGGCACGATCTTTGTGGAACCGAGCATGGCCTTTGTGGACCCAAGCGCGGGTTCAAGTTTCAGAATCCTGCGCTTAGCCTTTGTGGACTCGGGCCGAGGGATGGGGCATTGGGCACGGGCACCGGGGTTTCAAGCCCGGCCTCGATGGACCTGGGAACCTAGGCTCGACCTTGATGGACTCGGGCGTAGGCAACCGGGGATCCAAGCATGAACACCGGGGTCTTGGGCCCGGCCTTGATGGACCTGGACCCGAGCATTGGAGACTTGGTCTTGGATGCCGGGGACTCGGGAATCAACATTGGGGTTTTTGTGCTCAAGAGTAAAGTTTTGGGTCCAAGCATTAATACATAGTTATAATTTAGAAAATGATTTGTGATTTTTCAAAGAGGAAATTATTTTCCTGAACTTAATCATAGGTTTTCCATTGAGAAAGGAAAAAAATTTCTGTTGACTCTCATTTTCCTAAGAGAACCAAATGCCAGCAAAACAAGCGAGTCTAAATTTCAAAAAATTTTCCATCTAAGCCCTTCTTGGCTTACATGGATTGGTAATGGTGTTGTGGCAACCCTCTTCCCATTTGATTTAGAAGAGAAATTGTCGAGCAACACGTAAGCACGGTCGATTCTCGTATCGTCGCCGCTTGAAAAACTCCTCTGGAGACTTATCTCGCATATGAGAAGACCGGTTGTTGTAAGTAGCATCACTCCTGGTTGGATTCGTGGGATTTTGTCATATTTATCTCCGGTTTGGTTCTAGTCTTATGGACTTGGCCTCTACCGACAAGGAAAATCAATCTAGGATGTGTCGTACGAAGAAACTTTTTGTAACGCTACATGTTTGTAACTACAATCAAAGGCGTGCTTGTTCCACGAAAAATTTCACATCCCGAAAAAAAATAATTTTCCACGGAAAAATATTCAAGGGAAATGATTAGTTTTCTCTTGTTTAGTTATTGACTTGAAATTGCCATGGAAGCAGCCGTTCTTGTTTGGATGATAGGCTACTCACAATTGAAATGTGAATTTTCGATTTCTTCATCAAAGATGGAGCGACTTAAGAAACTCAAAAGAAAAGTCAATAGATGACGACGAAGTCCATATGCGACAGCCTTTGTCACGGTAAGTTGGTAAAAAATATATTTATAATGATGATTGGATAGTTGACTAAAGGTACTCAAATTATAGGACGGCAGATCGAGACAAATTATCAAGCATGTCTGCGGTCCCGTTTAGTTCAACTTTGGGAAGGGCTTTCGACCTCGAAAGCCCCTTCCCAAAATGCTGAACCGTTTGGTTCGACTTCCCGAGTCCGGAAAGCCGAAAGCCAGCATTTGAAATGCCGTTGGAATGCCGAAAGCCCAAAGCTGGTCCGGACCAGCTTTGGGCTTTCAACATTCCACAAATGCTGAAGCCTATTTTTCCCTTCCCAAATTGTCCTCACTCAAATTTCAATTTTCTGGTTTTGCCCTGTTATTGTTCATCTTCTTCACCATGAGGGTGATCGGCGAGGGTGGCCGACGAAGGGCCGGCGAGGGCGGATCTGGCCGGCGATCCCCCGCCGAGGTCGCGCGACCCGAGCGACGGCCGCACTTTGGGGTCGGGCGACCGCCCGGGCGCCGTCTCTTGGAGTCGCGCGATCCAGGCGGCCGATCGCTGGGTTGCGCGACCTCGGGCGACGGATCGCCTGGGTCGCGCGACTCCAGCCGACCGCCGACCCAGGCGACGGCGCCTGGGCGGTCGCCCGACCCCAGGCGGCCGTCGCCTAGGTCAGGCGACCTCGCCGGCCACTCTCACGGTGAAGAAGATGAACAGTAATAGGGGCAAAACCGGAGTATTAAGAATAAAAATTGCCAAAGCCCTTTGCAAAAAAAAATTTACCAAACACTACTTAGGCCAAAGTAGCTTCACAAATTTTTTTTTACCAAACACCACTTGTATTTTCCCAAGTGGCTTTCACCTAAAGGTATTTGCATTCCCCCAAGTTGCATTTGAAAAGCCGAACCAAACGGGCCCTTGAGTATACCCGCTGACGAGTGGTAGTTTTCACCGTCCAACACCGCCCTACCGTATGAGCTATCTAACTGTAACGCGTTGTATCTAAATAAAGCTTTTTGTGGTTTCTCCGTGACCTCACACTTGCTACTTTCCATAAGCAATTGGTGGGAAATCTAATCTGTCTGACTATGAGGTGGCGCGGAACATTGCCTAATTTGCAGCGAGAGTAGCAAGTTGGGTCTCGCAGAAACCACAAAAAGCTTTATTTAGATACATTGTGTTGTGAAGAAAAAGAAAAAAAAGAAGAAAATAAAAGAAACATTGTGTTTTGGGAAAATTCCAAATAAGCGTATGAAGTGTCATCATTTCCTTATATAAGGGCATGAAGTGGAGCTTATGTCAAATAAAGGTCTGAAATGCCATCGTTTTCTCAAATAAGGGCCTGAAATAGATATTGTTTCAAATAAGAGCATGAAGTGTCATTATTTTCTCAAAGAAGAGTCTAACCTCACCAACTAATCAATGGCATTTTCGTCCTTTTATTTTTTTTTCCTTTTCTTCTTTCCCATTTCTTTGTTTTCTTCTCCCTCGTCGGCCATCGGCGAAAAAGGTGAAGGATTCTTTCGAATCAAATCAAAATACGCAAGCTAATATCTATTTCGAATTCTGAATAAAAAGTACAAGGATTCCCTCTTCTTGTTTTTTATTAATTCTGCATCTTTACCTGAGAAAATGGAAATAAATTTTTTTTAAGGGTTAATATCACGAAAAACCCAAAACTGGTACACTTGTGACAATTTTACCCCGAACTAATTTTTTGACCACCAAAAATCCAAAACTGATACACATGTGACAAATTTACCACGAATTATTTTTTTAACCACAAAAAACCCTACACTGGTACACTTGTGACAATTTTACCCCGAACTAATTTTTTGACCACCAAAAACCCCAAACTGGTACATCTGTGACAATTTTACCCCGAACTAATTTTTTGACCACTAAAAATCCCAAACTGATACATTTGTGATAAATTTACCCTCCGTTAGTGTCCGTTAAATTGGATTAATATCATGAAAATCACAAATTGGTAAACTTGTGACAAACAGAGAGGTAAAACCCCAAATTGGTATACCCATCAATTACTACGTGTTATCAAACTTAGCAATTTGACAGTAAAATTTAATGGAAACTAACGGAGGGTAAATTTATCACAGATGTACCAATTTGGAGTTTTTGGTGGTCAAAAAATTAGTTTGCAGTAAAATTGTCACAGGTGTACTAGTGTTGGATTTTTGGTGATCAAAAAAATAGTTCGGGGTTAAATTATCACAGGTGTACCAGTTTGAGATTTTTTGTGGTAAAAAAATAATTTATGGTAAATTTATCATATGTATATGAGTTTGGAGTTTTTCGTGATATTAATCATTTTTTTAACTTGACATTATTACTGGGAGAAAAATTCAAAAAAAAAGGTGGAATAAAATCTGTAGAAAAAAGAAATGGATAAAAGAAAAAAACGAGTGGCTGACGACGCTCCCTCACGGCTCCGTGCGTCATCCCAAACTTCCTTCTTCTTCTCAAGCGCACACCACACTGCCCGAATCCACCATGAACCCAGCCGCCGCTCCGGCTCGCCCTCTCCCTCGCCTTCCTCCGCTCAGCCTCATCCATGGCCACCGCGCTCGCACCCACCCTCTCCTCCGCTTCTAGCTGGGCGCGTCTCTCCAGAGCCGCCTCCGCCGCCTCGCCACCCAGGACCGCCGCCGCCATGTCGTCCGCCGCCGCCGCCGCCGCGGCGACGAGGGTGCTCCCCGCCGTGATCGTCGGCGGGGGCCGCGTGGGGAGGGCGCTGCAGGAGATGGGGAGCGGGAGCGACGTGCTGGTGAGGCGAGGGGAGCCCGTGCCCTCCGATTTCGAGGGCCCGATTCTGGTGTGCACCAGGAACGACGATCTCGAGGCCGTCCTCGACGCCACCCCGTCGTCTCGCTGGAGTGGTACGCTTCGGATTTTCTGATAAGGCCTTTTCTAAATGGGTGTATGCCACATTGTCTTGATTGAGCGTCTGTTCGTGTCGTTTTCTCTGGATTGGAATTTCAGCCAGGGGCTTAACGGATATGGCGAAGAAATCGGTTGTCATTGGCAATTTTGCTAATTGGAGATGAATTCGCAGAGAAGTCCCCAGAATAGTTGATGAATGGATGTGACACCGTGACTTCTTGATCATTAGGCTTTAGTGCTTCATTTTGGTCCCATTTAGGTGATATCTGTTTTTCGACCTTGTTTATGCTAGTTTACGATAATTCAGTTCCGAAAGACAATTTCTTTTCATTTGCTGACTGACTTAGTGAGCTCGACCGGATTGATAGGTTACTGATACAGTGGGCTGGGAAGTAGAATTAGATCTATGGCGATAGGGTAGTTTGCGGGATTGCTCGGTATTCTTTTCATGAGTCCAATTTGCAGGGCAGATTTTACTGCATTTCTTTGGGTGACTCGCAGAAATTCCACGAGTCTGTATTAATCGAGTTGCAACTTGCAATGTGCATTCTGTGTGGGAAGTATCCTTCTTTACTGCTGCGACAAACATCAGAAACCTTTAAAATTTCCCATTTGCATGGAGATAAAGATGTCAACTTTTTGTATTACCTAAACTCGTATTGTTGCTTTCGGAGTTCTTCTAAAGAGGCTTTTGGTCATGAGATTGTGTATTCTGACAGTCTAGCAGATTTGGTATTTTTCCAGAATGGGATGCTGGAGCCGTGGCTTGAAAGCAAAGGTTTAAGTGATGCAGACCAAGTATTGGCGTACTTTGCGGTGTCAAAGTTAGGAGAACCGCCTATTGATGGAAAGACAGATACTAATCCTGAAGGACTGACCGCTGCATACGGGAAATGGGCTTCGGCAGTAGCTGGAAGATTACAAGCTGGAGGTTTGTCTTGCAAGGTTCGGGCAGATTAACCTTTTTATTTCTTCTTGCCACTTTCAGAATCTGTTTTATCTGAGTTAATTCATTTCTATTGGCATTTTTATGAAATTACAAACTGTCAACTATACGAGGAACCCTCAATGTTTATTTATTGTGCTTTTCCACACATTGAGATTCTTACTTTGTTAGTCTTTTATAACGGAGGTTTTTTGGTTGGCGACTCAGGTCCTGGACAAAGAAACATTTCAAAAGCAGATGTTAGAGAAGCTTATCTGGATTTCAGCATTCATGCTTGTTGGAGCTCGCCATCCTGGTGCAACCGTAGGTGTTGTGGAGAAGGAATTTCGCTCTGAAGTAAGGCTGCTTCGTTTCATCCACTCTGAACTTCATCCTTTTTAATTTTATTGCATTTCTTATGGATGTCAGAAGAAGGGGTGAAATGTCGTGCCTCCTTTTCCCATTCGTTCTTTTGGAATTTGAATTACGAGAAGTCTTTATGATGTATAGACTTCATCTGTAACGAATGACTATGTTAACTTTTTTTGCTAACTAACTTGAAACGTATTATGCACACTTTTAGTGTTGGAATCACTGCAGTTTCTATATGTTTTGAAACTCTAGAATGCTCTATGTCCTCTATGTCTGCGCTCTACATTCTTTTGGGGCCTGTTCCTTTCCTTTTGTATGAATATACCTCCGATGTTTGTCCCTACAGATGTGAGTCATCAGCACGGGTAGTCCTTTTCTGTCATTAATTTTAGAGATCTTTGGTTTCATGAAAATATAATGTTTACCTTGCCGAGTTTCCTAGAAAAAGTGACTAATCAGAATCTCTAATAATTCTGGCGTATGTGAGTTTGTCACTTCCAAACAGTCGGTCCATGGAGAATCAATCAGAACTGTATTGACAAGTTTGAATTTGCCTCGTCTTTCAGGTAGATAGCCTTATCAAAGAACTTGCATTGGCTGCTGCAGCTGAAAAGGGCTTTTTGTTTGATGAAGGCATGGAGGACAGATTATGTGCTTACTCACGAGCCGTGGCGCACTTCCCAACAGCAGTGAAAGAGGTAAATAGCAAGAAACTCAGTTGGATGAATGTACATGAATTAATTTGTGTGCCATGTCTAACTGCTGATTTGTTCCTTGCTAACAGTTCAAATGGCGTAATGGTTGGTTCTACTCTCTGTCTGAGAAGGCAATTGCAGAAGGGAAGCCTGATCCCTGCCCCCTACATACTGCTTGGCTCAGAGAAATAAAAGTAATCTAGACATCAATGAACTCATTGTCAGATTTCATGGAAATGGCTATCAATAAGCATGGCTAGGAGAGAGCGTTGGAGTAATGAATATCCGGTTTTTGTACCTCATCTTCGACTAGAGAATAACAACACATGCTTTACCAGTTGAATCTTATTTTCCCGTGTACACGGTGGTGAAGCTCCTTGGTATCTCGACAGGTTCTTGTTTTGAGCTAGAACTACACGAAAAGGTAGTCGAAGTATGATATGTCAGGGTTTAATTATTTCGCATAGGCTCCTCAGAATTGTTGGGAATGATGGCTCACTGCTCTTTTCTGTGACTCGATTGAAACTTCGTCTAACTGGGGGTTTTCCACATCAAACTCGAGCTTTGAAAGGAAAATTCTTTGCGAGTTTATTACGGTGAACCAAAATGTATCAGGATGGTTAAATTTGAGAAGATTCACGTGAGACCTACATGGGAGCCATCGTATCTGTTGGTCCAGATGTATTTTTTGGATGTGCAGGTCTCTTACTAGATACATCCTGGCTATGTAAGGGGACATGATACCTGTAAAGCTGAGGGCTCCCCTCATGAGTCATGACTTACCAAATAGGGAAAGTTACAAGAAAGACAGCGGAACGTTCGAGTACAGCTCTTATGTTCACATTACAAAGGAACGAGGAATATCATCTTCTTGACAACGACGGGAAAACGAGAACTACGTCCGATATTGAATACCCTGCAGGTCTTCATTGTTATTTTTATCATCTGGCCCATGTTGACTCTCAAGATTTTACCACCAAGTAGAAATATCATTCATATGTGTAATCAAAACAGTGACGAGTACAGGCCTCAAAACTTGTAGAATGTGGGAAACCCGAGACGACGGAAAGAAGGCAAAATAATCATTCTACTCACCAATACAAGTTCACAGACAACTCTCAAAATGAAAGTTCCCCACAATCTGACCTATTTGTTAGAATGCTTACATTTGGAAGACTATCCCCCTTCCAATGCAAAATATCCTCGACCAACGTCGAGAAGAAATATGGAATCAAATAGACACTAGCAAAAGATATATCTAAATTTATAACCCACTGGAGTTTGCAGATGCACCACAAGCAGGAAGTAGAATAAACGAGTCATGTCCTGCTGAGAAGGTTAGTGGAACTTTAGCTTTCCCTTGGATACAGAAGCCTTCGCTTGACACAGTGCCTTCTCAGTCCCCGTCAGGCCAGAGCATGACCCAGCAGCTGCTGTGGCTGCACCCAAGGTGATGGCGAAATAGAGATAGATGGTGCAAAGGAATGCAAGAAGTGCAAGGGCCGTCAAAAGGAAGCGGTGCCTCTGTGCAAGGGTCGACCAGCTTCCCAGCTCTTCTCGTCCGAATTGCTTCCTAAAGGATGGTGACCTCCGGTGAGGAGATGATAGTACGGTGTCGAGAACCATGGCTTGCTGTCGAGTTATCAATCCAACCTGGACTTCCTGCTTTCATGTATGTGTGAATTGATGCAAACAGTCAGAATATGTTGATAGTTAAACAGATCTGAGAAGATCAACACAGCTTTCAGCTGAAAGATGCAATAGCTAGCCAGATAAGAGTAAAACTTTAACCGAATACAAGCCAGCGGAGTGGGCAAATTCGCATTTCTCTCAAAGGGACAAAAAATGGAGAAGTAGATTCTGAAAGTGCTGGCAAACCAGTCATGGAGAAAAACGTGCTCTCACAGAAAAAATTGGAAGAGACAAGCATCTGATGTAACGATCACAAGTCCTGGAACAGAACCCGTTCATTATATGATGTTGAAGCTTGAGTATCCTATGTCTCTCTTCACGAGAACCTCTTTGTGCCAAGAAGGTCCTTGGCATAGAGTATATACCATATGCATGCATTTCCAGAATCTACCACTGGTCTGCTATGAGATGAGGGCAGTCAGGTAAACAAAAACAGAACATCCCCACTCTCACTCTCTCTCGGGGGTGCGCAGGGATTTCATCACAATCAGATGCGCGTGCTGCAGCACCAGAACCAGATGGCCAACATACAAGGTAAGATCTTAAGCTCCACACATTATTGAGACCTGCTTGCGCCCACACAAACATACTGCGAGCTCGTAGAGAAAAGCACATCATGTTATTTCAAGAACAAACTCTTCCTACTTGAAACACCATTGATCAAATCAAGGCACGCAACAAGAGCTAAGAGAAAAAAACAAATTACGAACCACCCATCAAAGTCAGATCTTTACGTATACTCATGGCCACAACTTATTCAAAGGAGATCGATCATTCACCATCAATACCCACCAATTAATGAGCAGAGAAAGACAGGACCACACTGGTGTGCGTCGGATAAACGAGAACAGAAAGCATAGGACCCTTCAATTACCAAAAAGATCGCCAAAAAGGCAAACTCGATCACGTCAACCCGACGACAGAACAAACACCTAAAGATCTAACGAACACCGCAATCAATCCGACGACGATTCGGCCGTCGCCAACCCCAGAACGCAAACATTCCCCCCAGACCCATCAACAACGAATCGACGGCGCGCTCAATTAACCCCCCGACCGCATCAGGAGGACACGGTCGGGATCTGAAGACGAAGATCAAGAAAGCATTTCCAGAGAGAGAGAGAGAGAGAGAGATGGCCGCGAGACTTACAGGGAAAAAAAAAGAAAGAAGAGCAGAGGAGACCCAGATCAAGATCAAAGGAGGCGGGATTTGGGTTCGACCCCTCGTTGTCCCTTTTGCTCCGCGACGGCGACGGCGACGGCGACGGCGATGATGACCGATCGAAAAAGCTCGGACCTTTTCTTCCTTCCTCGCTTCCCCTGTACGCTGCGAATTGTGGGTGGGTGTGCCCGGTTCGACGAAGAAGGAGGGGAGGGGAGGGTCGAGCTTTCTCTCTCCTCCGCGTGTCTCGGCGAGACGTAGAGAGAGAAAGGTGGCTAAGAAGCAGAAGAAGGAGGGCCTCCTCCACTCGCCATCCGCACTTCAGCTCCAAAATAGCGTGGATATCAGAGAGAGAGAGAGAGAGAGAGAGAGAGGGAGGCGAAAGTTTCCGTGTGTACTGTTGTTACCAAAAAAGAAACGCACCGAACGCGCCGAGGGGGGGGGGAATATATAAACAATTATTATTAATGACCCATTAAATAACGAGATCTGCCCAATTGACAAAATAAAAATAATTAATAATTAATAATTAATAATAACAAATGAAAGAAAAGAAACCGGGCCATGGGACTCGGGGCAAGTTGACGCTTTTGGGTGTTCATCGAGAGGGCCCCGCCCCTCGGTCCAATCGGATCACAGCCCCGACGCGCGCTTGTGTGGGTTTGGCTTTGCCCCTGTCTTGCCCCCCCGACCTACCTCCTGACCAAAAAACCAAACCCATAAATGTTATCGGGTCGTGCCTCCGATATGGATCTCTGATTCATGCTCCGGCTCAGGTTCGATTTGTTTCGCGAAAAATAAATGATTTGAAAAAAAAATTTCAAAAAAAAAATCGTTTTTATCATTTAAAATAATTAATCAACAATTTTTGGCTAACATTTTCCGGACGATAAAAATATTTTTCGTCCAATCATTTTTTACGGCGATACAAGTGGATTTTTTTTCTGGAAAATGTTTCCCTAATTATTCGCTTTCCGTGAAACGAATGGATCCACGGCTTTTTTTGGTCGAAAAATGCGTTTATAATTTAAGTACAACTTTCCCTCTCGCTTTGAAGATCTGTGTGGAATTCTGAAGTTGGGATATGAGATTCCGTGACTGTTGGGGTTTTACGTTCTCGATCGTCTCGCCAGTTCTTATCGATCGGCCCTCGGCATCAATGGGTTGGATTCCCCCACATACTCCACGGGATGAAAGTTTTTAGAGGGATCGATTAAGCTAGTTTGTTGTCGCAATAGAAAAGCTTTTATGTGCTCGGTACGGACCATGGCCAGTCGTGTTGATGTTTTAATTGAAAGGTAGGCAATCGAGACATAGCCCGCAAGTAGAGTGATGCTCGAAAGACTTGCAGAGTTATTTATTTGCGAAAATTTACGGGAGGCCAGGACCCAATTTTTTTGTCGATGCCTCGGATCAGATGACACGATATCGAAAGATCATCCAATGGCTAAAAAATTTACCGAATAACCCTCGCTCTCCAAGCAATCTAGTTGAACTTAGTTCTCATGTCCAGCCGCGGCATTGCCAAGGTTGCCGTTGAAGATTATTGTAAACTTCATCGTCTTACCATAGGCTGGGATACGTGGCTACGGATTGCGAACGCGCGGAAAGAAAGAAAAACGCGTTTATGTGAACAAGAGGCATAAAGTTTACGCCGTAAACCGAAGATGCTGAGTTGTTCAGATGATCTTAGCCCTACTTATGTCATTTCATCTTATGCTAATACTACTGGATTTAGTAATAAAAAACAAATTGTGGCAATAAAGAAGAGTCAAACTCATCTAAAAATGTCATCAATAGTCCAACTCAACTTCGGCAGGCTTCCAACACCAGTCAACAGTCGGCACGCAAAAAGGTTGACCACGGGCGTCGCGGGCGGGCCGCCGGGTCACGGGTCGGCCCAAGCCCGGCCCCAAATCGTGGATCCGCTTGCACCGAAACGCGACAATCCGAGCGAATCTCGACCGACCCGGTGCGAGAGACGACGACGAGTTCAAGAATCTCACCAAACCCCTCCTTCGTTCCTCGTCGTCGTCGTCATCTGCACAAGATCCAAGTCTCTCTCGCTCTTGGAAAGTTCGCGATCGAAAGCTTCGCGCTCCGTCTGCACCATTCCGGTACGAAATCGGGATCTTCGATTACTTACCTTCTTTTGTTCGATCGGTTCGTCGGAGATCGATTGTTACTTCAGCTTGGTCGGCGTTGAAATTGTCGAATTCGTGTTTGTTTTTGCTGCTTATTACCGTGTGATCGGAGCTATCGAACCTAAGGAACTTTTGACCTGCCGGCGAGTTATTTTTTGGTCCCCTTTTCTGTTTTGCGCGTGGTTCGGTCCGTACGGAGTCTGTTGGAATTTTACCCGGCTGCGATCGGCTCCGGCGGAGGTTGCTCGCCGGATTTTTCTATGGTTTCGTGACCTAGGGATGTGCGATTATTGCTAATTTCAGTCCTCGAGTGGTGTTCTGGAGTTTGTGACGTTTTGTTTTTGGTGGTTGTTTGGTCTTTGGTGGTCAGGTTCTGTTTGGTTGGTGATAGGAGGAGGAGAAAATGTGGGCGGCGTCTTGCCTCGCGTCCTGCTGTGCCGCTTGCGCCTGCGACGCCTGTCGGACGGTGGTGTTGGGAATTAGCCGGAGGTCGGCTCGTATTGCTTACTGCGGGCTCTTCGCGCTCTCTCTGATCGTCTCATGGATTCTCCGCGAAGTCGCGGCTCCTCTGATGGAGAAGCTCCCTTGTAAGATTGTTGAATTCGGTTTCTTTTTTCGTGCACGGATAGTCGTTTCGTTCTTTCGATGCTTTTTGGCAGCTTTGTTGTTGTGATGCCTAAGTTCGTCTCAGAGGAAGATTAGTCTGCGGAAATACACGATGATGATTAGGAAGCACTGTGTAGATGCCATCCCTTATGCAATTGTGTTATAGCTGGAATTACCCTTAAGTTGTCATGATATGGAGACACTTTTTATCATGCAGGGATCAATCATTTTCACAAGACACCGGACAGGGAGTGGTTTGAAACTGATGCTGTCTTGAGGGTGAGCTTGGGGAATTTCCTCTTCTTCACAATTCTGGCTACTATGATGATTGGGGTGAAAAATCAAAGGGACCCTCGTGATGGTATTCACCATGGCGGATGGATGATGAAAGTCATTACCTGGTGCCTATTGGTAATCTTCATGTTTTTCCTTCCAAATGAGATCATCAGCTTTTACGGTGAGATTCACAACGTGCTCGTGGAATTTCTCTATTATCTTTTCCCATGTCAAATTTGCTACAATCTGAACACAATTGAGTCGTGATATGTTTGACTTGAGTGTTAAGTGCCTTAGTAGGTGGGAAGGCATCTTTATAGCATTCCTTTGAGGGTTTCATGGTTAGAAAGAGTAGTTCTTGCATATGACTGTGAAGTTTGAAGCAACCGGATATGTTTCATTGAATTATTCAGTTACTTGCCCTCGAGAAAAGCACATTTTCATTGCTTGGATTGAGTACTTATTGAACTTTTCTGTTGCAGAGTCCATTTCAAAATTTGGCTCAGGATTCTTTCTTCTCATTCAAGTTGTCCTTTTGCTGGATTTTGTTCATGGATGGAATGACAAATGGGTTGGATATGATGAGCAATTCTGGTTAGTTTTCTTTTTTTCTAAATAATGTCTTCTTATGGCGTTGAGCTGTTTATCGGGGATTTCCCTTATATCTATTCATTTTCTCAGTTCCATCTTCTCTAGCTATATTTGGATTATTTAATTTGATTAGCATATAGATCCAGCTTATTTGCAGTTTTATTTATCTCCATTACTGATTGAGTCCGTGACTTTCTTCATGTGTAGGTATGTTGCTTTGTTTGTGGTTTCACTTGTTTGTTACGTGGCCACCTTGGCATTCTCTGGGGTCCTCTTTCATTTTTTCACACCATCTGGACATGACTGTGGGCTCAATACCTTCTTCATCGTCATGACTTTAATCTTCGTGTTTCTTTTTGCCATGGTTGCCCTGCACCCTGCAGTAAGTTCCTAACTTCTTATCTATTGTCCTCTGTTTTCTTGTGTGCTTCTTCACAATTTTTGTACTATTACATCGATTATGCTGTGACCAATTGACCTCAGGTAAATCTATACTTGAATAACCAGCAGGTGGTTATTACAATGCTTGGAAATTTGTCATTGTGATTCTCAGTGCTTGGTGAATTGACGTTCTGTTTCTCTACATGGTTACTTGATTTGGTGCTCTCTGTGCTTTCTTTATAGAGAGGTTGGAGCAGTTGCAAAGTAGTTTTTTTAGGTTACAGAAATTCTTTGGTATTTTCCTTCATTGTGCCAAACCTTTCGTTAGACTCTTTAAAAAAAATCCGTCCAAAAAAAAAAAAAGACACTTGAAGAAAAAAGGTCTAACTTATAGGGTGGCCACTAGCAGATTCCTGCCCTTTGTTTCAATATTATTGGATTTCCTGCTTTCTCCAGAATGTAAGAATTTGTCCATTCTTGCATGCCCTTGGATTTGAATTCTCCTGAAGTGATAAGTTAGGGGGACATTTGTGCTTCTTATGATGTTGTTTCAGAATATTTTTGCTAGTTGCTATGGTACTGTGCACATATCTGGTGGATGACATTTCGTTGTGATGCTCTTTCCATCTATTCGAGTGGCTGTGCAGTATCAAAGACCGATTTTACAATCTTATTATTGTTCTATTCCCCCGTGAAATCAGGTAAATGGAAGCATCTTGCCAGCTTCAGTTATAGCTTTGTACTGCATGTACCTCTGTTATAGTGGGCTTGCCAGTGAACCGAGGGACTATGAGTGCAATGGTCTTCATGGGCACTCTAAAGCTGTTTCCACAGGGACCCTTACTCTAGGTCTGGTCACTACTGTTCTTTCGGTGGTCTATTCTGCTGTCAGAGCTGGATCTTCTACAACTCTTCTCTCCCCACCTGGTTCACCTCGTGCAGGTAAATTCACTGCGA